CATCCAAGATGTGCTAGAGCTGTTAGCCGGTTACTTTGAAGTAGTTGTAGAACGTCAGTCGGTCAGGGTCGTGCAATGTTATCGCATGAGCTGATTGTTTAGTAACTGGTGGACAGTATAGCGCAACTTGTAGTTCCTTGGTCTTTCTCTTTTGTATAAATTAAACCTTCGCTCTCCACCTGAGTCCAATACGTCTTTGTCTTTGTCTTTCCTTGTCTGCATGGTTTATCTAGCCCACTTTTCAGCCTCCTATTCACTCCCCGCTGCACTGGCCCACATACTGCTGCCACAACCCGCGGCCAAGCTACAGCTGCTCTAGTCTTGCCTGCCTGCCACTCCCGGTATTTTAATTTTTAATTTTTTTTAATTTCGGCCAGTCGGCTACTATCATTTTCGTCTTGGGGGCTAGACAAGGGGAAGTAGCCATGTCGGGGCGTGAGCCCGGCTTTCGGCATGGTTTCAATTCCATTGCGTATCTTGGTGCCGACAGGTGGAATGCGCTGCCTCCATCTTGTCGCCTGGCCGAGTCGCCTGCTTTGTTTCGCGCTCTCACAAAGTCACATTATTTTAGGGTTCCCAGTAAAAGGGCAACATTGCCTGTTGGGAAATCCCTAACAAAAAAAAGAGTTTTTTAAAAGAGGTCGGAGGCGGATAATACTTTAAAACGATGGTGAGTATAATAATATAATAATAATAATCTTTATTTCAGGATTACCCAAAGGCTAACGCCTATCTGGGGGATCTCCTATTTGTGTATGTACTAGTAACATAGTTAAGGATGCGAGAGAAAGTGCGCAAAGTGAGTGTGAAATGTTGGTTTGAAAAAGGAATAATAAGAAACACAAGGAAAGAAAGTAAGACAGAAAAGAAAAGAACAAGCATGCAAATCAATGATTGCACATCAAAGGTGTACCAGTGCAGTCGAACTGATACTTAGCAATGTGAATACGTAAATGACGCTTGAATTCAGATAGGGAATCAAAAGTTGTCTTACATGTAGGTCGCAAGTATCCACGCAAACACACATCCAGTCAAATAAGGCATCTGTCATCAAGTATCCGAACGTTTTCGGTCCCTTCTCATCAAAGATTGTACAGGGAATGGCTCAAGTTGTAAAGACTACAACTGCCAGCATTGAGCTCAGGATATCCATGGGAGATTTTCTCCAGGAAAGCCTCATCTTTTCGAATTATGACATTCCTGACTCCTTATCTGTTTTAACGGACGACATTCCAATTGCATCTGGGCGTTATGTCAGCTAAGCATCTTGGCGAACGAGTCGGAGAGCTCAGCGATGGTTTGAAGTTCCATGACCACTTCCACACTATCATTATATATAGGCTATATTCAGGAAGTCTCAGCAACGTGTCAATCTGTTATGCTTCATGGGCCGACACTTACCATCATCACATATTGTTCTCTTGTATAAGTCTTATGTGCGCCCAGCAATTGCATAATACCGGTATGCCAGTCCTGTCTGGTCATTTAGGACCACATCCGCTCAGTTAGAGTCACTTGCTGTGCATGTGCTCCAGGCTAAGGTTTGCCGGCGACTCCTGAATGCGAAAAAAGCTTTGATATCTATGAATCAAAATCGAATTTGAATAGATGGTGTCCTTTAGAATCCCTGCAATTTCGCCGTAGCTCTATTTCGCAATAATCAGGCAACACGAAGATGGTGTGCCGACCATGCCGTATGCCAGGAGAGGCTGGGTCTTGTAGCACTGTGTGACAAGCTGTGTGAGAATGTGGGGTTCACGGGTCGCGTCAGACTCCGCTAGAGCCTAGGCTAGAGGCACCGCATCCGCATCCGTAGCAACGCCACCACCCTTCAAGGATCAAGGCGCGGATGCGGCTCCTAAAGCGATGGGAGGTGAGGAGATCAGACCCACCAATTATAATGGTCAAAGACAGAAAATCCCATTCGCTGCATTCAACTGTGGGTCGCAGCACGGCTGGAAAAATCCTTCCGCTTCCAAGCAGGAGCAGGACTTGAACCTGGAACCTGGTACCCTCTGTTTCTCGTGCACATGGTGTATGTACCCCCCCCCCCCCAAGACTGTGGGGAGGGAGAAAGGCTAGTTTATATTACATACTAGTGCGACTCTGAATTTCACTGCTCAGTGCAACCATCCGACAACATAGGGTTGCTGTTGGGCATTCCAGTGCGTGTATTCATGTGATAATGTATTTCCGTCTACTAGTGTAATATTGGCATGGCCAAAAACATCACCATGTTGCCGGATGATTGCCCTTAGGCATGGGCGGGTAATGCTAGCATTATGGCTGGCATTATAGTCCCTTTTTTCAGGTGGCATAATGCTGGCATTATAACACCATTTCGCATGCAAAATTGGCATTACAAGCATAATTGCCGGTCGACAACGGTGTCATGCATGAAGCTGTCTAGGTCCAGTTCCAAAAATCGTGCATCTGAACCCGTCCGGCTTCGTCCGGAGACTTGATGTTGCAAATCAACCTTCTCAGTGGATTGTTTCAGACAACATGCGCTGCAGCCAAATATGCCGGATGCATGATTTATCACGTGCTGCCTACGTGCTGCCAAGATGGCCTTCTTAAATCGACTTTTCCAACTTTCAAACTGGCATTATGGAGTAGTGTGAGCATTATAAGTGGCATTATATCCTCATATTATGAGCATTGCCTTTAGCATTATCGCAGCAAACAACTAGCATTACCCGCCCATGCCTAATTGCCCTGAGCGGCATGAAATTCAGAGTCGCTGGCATCGCCTTTGACAAACCGCCAACTGGATTGGTTCAGATGGTTCTCGATCTCCTCTGCTGGTGGCCTTTAGAAGTTTAGTGCGGGGGGGGGGGGGGGGATCAGTTTGTCATGTTCTTGTCACGGCTCTCAATACTGATAAGCATCAACCAATAATATATCCTCTTTTGTCCCACTCCTTGTCCATAGCCACCTGCTGCAAGCATTTGAAGAGTTCGTGTCTCGTGATGCTTTCACATTTTATATTTGCTGTCTTTCTTTCTAGGCACCTGATCATCACTGCTTCATCGTCATCATGTCCATCGTCATTTTGAACAGCCTCTTGTACGGGCAAGCAAACACGCAGTACATCAAAAAATTCAATAGAGTGAAAAGAAAGGAAAAGCAACGCAAAGTGCAGTGGAACTCAATGAGCAAGGGGCCCCCAAATGCCCAATGGGAAGAGACCTGAATTACAGATGGAGCGGACTCGCTCCCTTCTATTTACACTGCAACGTTCGAACACATTTTCGTAGTTAAAACAACGTTTCGGCATATAGCCCTCATCAGGTTTGCAATGATGTGCACTCTACAAAGGAGCAGCAAATATACTGTGCTGTGCTGTGTTTGCGCCAAATGTGTCAGCTACAAAGGTGGCGAAAGGGATTGGTGATATATTAATATCCAGATACGATATATTCACAGTAGTGCCCAGCCAGCATTAGTGTTTACTGGATATTAATATATCACCAATCCCTTTCGCCACCTTTGTAGCTGACACATTTGGCGCAAACACAGCACAGCACAGTATATTTGCTGCTCCTTTGTAGAGTGCACATCATTGCAAACCTGATGAGGGCTATATGCCGAAACGTTGTTTTAACTACGAAAATGTGTTCGAACGTTGCAGTGTAAATAGAAGGGAGCGAGTCCGCTCCATCTGTAATTCTGTATGAAACTGCAGGAGGCCTCACCGCTTCTAATCTCGGGAAGAGACCTCACATAGAAAATTACCAAAACCAAAACAAACAACCAAGGCACTGCGCTTGTATGATGCCCGCGAACCACGTATGCAAGTGGAGAAACACAGCGACCGTTGCCCTCTTTTGCCTTGTTTCCTACTTTGATGACTTGTGTTTTACCCCTGACGGTTAACTGCTAAGCTAACGGTCGGTTTAACGGTTATAACCTATAAGACACGGCAATCCTGCGGACTCTTTTTTAACCGTACATTTGACTATACTCATTCAAAAAATGTACCCTATTCAGTACAACGCACACATGTACATTCTCTTGCATGCTCATTCATACATACTCTCACACCAAGAGACCAGATATGACCGAGGTGATAGGCTGATAGCCCAGAAATTGCTTACGCGTGCGACAGCCTGCGAAAGTGCATACTTTGCAACGACCTGATACTTGAAAAATTGACTGAAAAGTTACTGCATAACCGTTATCTTTATCGGTTAACCGTCAATTATTCGTAACCGGTCTGCAACCGGTTAATCGGACTAAAGGCTTGAGCCCTACTTTTAAGTTTTAATCCTTTGAGGATCCATAGGTCGACCTACAAAGGCTACATGTACATGACTGTACATGATACAGTCATGTACATGTAGGTCGACCTATAATTATTATTTTGACAAGGTACAGTGCTGGCGACTGAAATCCGACCCCCTGGGCGGCGCGACGCGGCCGCCCAGGGGGTCGGATTTCAGTTGCCAGGACTGTACTACTGGTAATAGTCACTTGAGATATTATACATACCAAGATGCAAACTCTCACAACTGCTGCCATTTACACCTTTCCGTTGTGGGTATATGAACCAGTATCCAGATTTTCTCATTACTGTTTTCTGATGATCGCTTACTAGTAGTGAGTGAAACTCGGAGCAAAAGTACTTTTTCATCCTCTTATTCTTGCTTGAATTCGTTATCACGTTTCGGCAAATTGCCCTCATGAGGTATGCAAGCTTGCAAAGGAGTAGCTATTATGCTGGGCGCAGTAACCAGTTTCAAGAGTTCATCAACAGGGTGGTGCTGGTGCCATTGTTGTGTGTGTGCTGGAGTTAGGAGTGGTGGGACTCTTGAAAATCCTCTATACTGTGACAGAATTATGGTGCCCCCCCCCCCCCCTCCAGTTTACGTAATACTGTAACAGACATAGCCAGTTCAGTATGAAGGGAGTTGGCCTGTATAGGAAAGTCTCTGGGAAAACATTGAGCCACACCACTAATCGTGTGCTCAAAGAACGAGAAGAAGAGAGTCTAGTAGTAGTAGTAAAAATACCTTGGTCATGATGTCACTGCTCCCTGGTGGGAAGCGAAAAATAGTTTTTTTTAAGCGGAAGAGGAGAAAAAGAGTGAAGTTTATCGTAACAAACAAGAAACAGCGAATCTAGAACACTGTAGCTGAGGATATACCAAAAAAAATACAAAACTGACCGGCTGACATTCCTGGAGACACTTTCAAAGTGAGTTCCACAAACGGAACGTGACACTGGATGAAAGACGAAGATGCAAAACAAATAGTCATTCAAAAAGAAAGTAATAGTATAACTCAGAATCCACTCAAACACACAAGTGTGGAAATATCAAAAAAAATGCTCGAGTGTTTCTCTTGCACGCAGATATTTTGAGGACACAGCTATAGCAGTACACGGAAGGAGTCACTGTGTTGACAGGCCACTGTCTGCAGCAGGGTTGGTGGGACACTCGTAACCATCATGATCCGTATCTGCCTCTATCATATCGCTTGGGGCAGAACCCGCAGCAGAATCCATAGCAGCAGAGCTCGTGGCGGAAACAGGGCTAAGATCAGACTCGTCGGCATTGCCATATATGGGCTGCTCATCATCGTCATGCTCACCATCAACCATGCTTAGTTGTGTACTAGCTCTAGCAAGGACACGCTCATAGGCCGCACTGGGATCTGCTGTAGCTGGCACTAACACGTTGCCTGGGGCGGAATCCATGACAAAAACAGGCGTAAGATCAGACTCGTCTGCTTTGGCATAGATGCCAGTCTGCCCATCATCGTCGTCGTCCCTACTATCCTCTCTACTATCAAAAAATACACTATGCCTGTGCATGTGCATGTGACCAGGGGGAGTTCCCATATTACCTGGGGGGATTTCCATATTCATAGCGTTCTTAGCGGCAGCTGCAGCTGTGTACATGTTTTCTTGCTGTAGAATAGCATAGGGAGAGGGCAAATTGACGAGTGAGCACTCACTGCCTCCAAGCGCTGTGCATGTGCTGACAAGGTCCTGTAGAACGCAGTCATGGCTGACACACGTGGTTGTACTGAACCGCGCCATCACGCTGGTGCTGCCACGCTGCTTGGCAGTGACGTTATCTGGCAGCATGGAACAGTTCAATGCCATCTTCGCAAGTGACCGGCGCTTATGGTTAGGCGACATTGGCGGCAACTCTGGAGGCTGGTCGGAGGAAAGACTCGGTCGTGCATACGGCGCAATATTGAGGATTTGCTGCTTTTGACTGCTGCAACTTTCTGCAGTGTTACTGCTACCCTCTAAGAAAAAATATGGATTATCTTTGACGACAGCTGAGTCTGACCGTGTCTGAGAAGTGGTTTGCGAGCTGGTAGTTTCGTATCCCTGCGATGGACCTGTCTGGATGTGATTTACAGTTGCATGGTCATTGGTGGCTATAGTAGCTGTTTGCATGTAATGCGTAAAACAACAGCATAGAAGACAAAAAGCAGGACATTGTTGACAACAGCCGTGAACAACGACGACGACGACGACGACGAGGGCAACTGCAACAACAGCAAAAACAACAACAACAACAACAACAACAACAACAACAACAACAACAACAACAACAACAACAACAACAACAACAACAACAACAACAACAACAACAACAACAACAACAACAACAACAACAACAACACAGACATACACAGACACTTGTATACATACGCATCCACAGACACTTGCACACATGACCCTAATTTCGAAATTTCTACGGGGATACCCCCCCCCCCCCCCCCCGACCACCTCCAACGGCGGTGCTACACGCCTGGACTCACTATCTCAAACATGCTACAATCGATAGATAACAAAATGTAAATCTCCATACTGCTGGCTGTTTTGACTTTGCCAAGTGACTCATTGCTTAGTCATTAATGGAGCACATAATATACTAGTAGCAACTGGTTGGGCAATTGAAAAAGAAGCTTACCTTTTGCAGGGCGCTCCGGTGGCTTGGGTATCAGAAATGCCAATGTGATAATGAAGATAAGCGTCACGCCGAGACCCAGTCCAACCGAAATTGCAGTCGCGCTTGTCGTTGTTGCAGCCCTGCTGAACCTGTCTGGTCTGGTCGTTGGCATCATGGTGGTATCTTGCACTGTTACTTGAACAGGGAGGAGTTCTGTGTGGCAAGTAAAGTGACATGGCAATGTATATTGCTGCACAATTCTCAGTGACTGCAGACATTCTAGCAGATCCAGACTCAGGATATTGGAAAGCTGGTACCATCTACTACTTGGCTAGTGTCAGTGTGTATGTTCTTGAACGTGGCGTGGTATGTAGAGACAATCCTGAGAGCTAGGGGTGGTATGTAGTTGTGACTGTACATGCTGCGGCTTACCCACACAGGTATAGCTGGATACAGTACCAGTGCACTTCAAGGCAGGAGGACAGGATTGCTCTTCTCCAGGTATGTTCTCACAAGAACTGGAGCAAAATGGCGTTGTGAGATCTACAGATAAAACAGCAAGAGGCAGATGACCGGGCATGTCATCTCTTCTTTTCACTTGCAATTTGGTTGCCATAGTAATTTGGTTGCCATAGTCAAATTTGTATGCAGACTACCATGAACGTTGTGCAGTGATTCGTGTTGGTGAACGGTTGATTGATTTTTATTAAGTATGAGTAAAATAATAAACGAGAAAGCTTGGAAGCTCAGGGCCCTACGCTATGCTTTTTTGCCTAGCTCATCATGCATGTTATTAGAACTGATGGAAATGTTTTTTTTTCCATTGATTAGCTACATTATTGTATTGCAAAAACGCTTTAATCAGTTTGAATATGAGTTAGGCAAGAGCAATTGCAGAATTTTATTCGGTTGTATTATAATGTATTATGTTATTGCGAAGAGCTGCGCTTCGGTCCTCTGAGCTGTGCTGAGGAGGTCTAACAGAGCGGAACAGTTGCTGTCCACAGATTTGAGTATTATGCTCCCGGTCTAGCAGTCAGCAATGCCGTTAGGTTGAGCGCTCTTACCTTAGCGCGAACCCTTGCCGCCGCTCGCCTTGTGCAACGCTCACTGCTCTTGGAGCATTTCGAGCACTCTTGGCGGGGTTTGCAGCTCTTTATAAAAATGCTTTGCTTCACAGAAACGTATTTCATTGCGAAGAGCTGCGCTTCGGTCCTCTGAGCTGTGCTGAGGAGCTCTAACAGAGCGAAACAGTTGCTGTCCACAGATTTGAGTAATGTATTATGTTATAAATTTTTCTTTTCCCCCTTTTTTTTCAAGACAAACCTGGGATTCGAACCCGCACTATCGCCCTGCATGCATTCCCCCGATACACTTCGCATACATACTCATTCTTCCAAGTTGCTTCACGTTATGATCTTGCATTTAAAAGCCCTATTAGAATATTGTGGCCAGCTGTCTTTGATGGTACGGGGCAGGTGCGGGATAGCGCCAGGCATCTTTTCCGTTTGCCGTTCTTCGGCAACAGCTCTCGCCTTCATCTCTGGTGCGGCTGTGATCTAGTGACTGCGTACATGCATTATGATTAGGGCTCAAACGGTTAGTCCGATTAACCGGTTGCAGACCGGTTACGAAGAATGAACGGTTAACCGATAAAGATAACGGTTACGCAGTAACTTTTCAGTCGCTTTTTCAAGCATCAGGTCGTTGCAAAGTATGCACTTTCGCAGGCTGTCAGCCTGTCGCACGCGTACACAATTTCTGGGCTGTCAACTAGGTTATATCTGGTCTCTTGGTGGGAGAGTATGTATGAATCAGCATGCAAGAGATTGTACATCTGTGCGTTGTACTGAATAGGGTACATTTTTGAATGAGTATAGTCAAATATACGGTTGAAAAAGAGTCCGCAGGATTGCCGTGGCTTATAGGTTATAACCGTTAAACCGACCGTTAGCTTAGCAGTTAACCGTTAGGGGTAAAACCGTGACCGTTTGAGCCCTAATTATGATAGACCAATCCCTTTGTCTGGGTTCGTGAAAAGGGCCACGCGTGCAAGTCAGCTCGTGTGAAGTGCATACCTGCCAAGTACTGAGAGTGCTTTTTCTGGATCGCCATGGCAAAATCGCGGGATTTGCCTTGGTTTTTCGGGATATGTCATATTTTTACCAAACTTTTGAAAATCCTTTTTCAACTTTTGATGGCACCAACATTTCGATAATTATATTCTTAGATGATTGATGGTGATCATCGGATCACACTTACACATGTTCAAGACTCAAAAACGGAGGTTTTTCAGACACTGTTCATGGAAGGAGCACTAGGAGATCCACTGGTACTGCAGGCTATGGCGGTCCGGGATCAATAAGGACAATTACTGGCCTGTGACAAGTCATTTGAAGTGTTCCAAGTACAATATCAAGCTTGTTTCTTGTACAGTAAATTTCGGGATAATCGACAAGAATTTCGGGATCGCGGGAGTTCATCCAAAATTGCGGGATAATCCCGAAAAAATCTGGATGCTTGGCAGGTATGGAAGTGCATGTTTTGTATTTAGTTGGTATGTGGCAGCTTATGGGACGGAGAGACTTTTGCTCCCCCGAGCTTGTGTATGTAAATAGTGTTTTACGTCGACCATGACGGTTGCAATGCGCAACCATACCACAACGAACTGATCGGCTACATCAGTGTATTGCAAAAAGTTTCCATCTGTTCGAATAACATGCATGATGAGCGAAAGAAATTTACTTTCTCTTTGCATTCGAGGGTAATACGACACTGTCTACCGCCTTGATGACCTAGGCAAAAAAAAGCATAGGGATGTTATAAATTTTTCATTTCTCCTATTTTTAAGACATAACCTAGGATTCGAACCCGCACTATCGCCCTGCATGCATTCCCCCGGTACACTTCGCATACATACTCATTCTTCCAAGTTGCTTCACGTTATGATCTTGCATTTGAAAGCCCTACTTGAATATTGTGGCCAGCTGTCTGATGGCACGGTACGGAACAGGTACGGGATAGCGCCAAGCATGCCGACGGAACAAACACACAAACACGGAAATAAGGCTGTGTGGACCCTGGTTAGCGCCAGACGTTACTGAAGTAATGTCTTTTGCATAGCTACGGGAATAAAATCGCCCAGTGCCCTGCATGAGTGCACAGTCCAGTGTTCACTGCCAGGGTATCGGGGGCGTACAGCACGCCACCCAAGGATCTCTAACACACTATAGTCACACTATGCTATCGACCGTCTTTGTTCCAAGTACCCCATGAATCCACAAGAAAAGCATCGATTTGGGCTCTGAATTTCAAAACATTTCAGCATACCCCCCCCCCCCCACACACACTCACGGGTAAATTGTGCTACAGATGGCTGGCCGTACCGCCCTAAAATGCCTTCTGACGTCCCGGACACCCCATGCTAAAATTTCAGCGGATCTCCCCCCACCCCCCGCCCCCACTCATGGGTGAATTGTCCAGATGCGCTCGCCGTACTGCCCTCTAAAGTACCTCAGTTCTGCTGCCCCTGACACCCCGTGCTAGCCTAGGTTCAGTCACGTGATTGGGCTTCATTGTGCTGCAATGTTACCACTCACTGTCCCCTCACTACCACGGCAAACCAACAAGCCGGGCGACACAACCTTAAAACTTGTCACTCTCTTATTATTGACCACCACGGAAACTTGTGATCTCTAAGCGGTCAAATATCACCATACATTGACCGCTTATATTGACCACTTACCCAGAGGACTTAGACATTTTTCCTGAACTTACAAAAAAGTCAGAAATTAAAGACGAACAACTTACTGCTGTCGAGGTAAGTTTGGACGTCGGAGTCGACCAAGAAAGCTGACATATCATCGATGTTATACCTAGCAATATTGAATGTGCATAGCCTGAAGTCCAGTGACAAGGAGTTGCGGCGCATAGAGCTATGCATCAAGAAAATAATTGAAAAGCAAAAATGCACGTGGGTCCGTGTATCAGCAAAATAGTTTGTTTTTCACATGCAAAGCAGGATTGGAAAATTTGCCACTTGGCTGTAACAGTAGTAGTACATGCTGAGGTTCAGGCATCAGCAATCATCATGAGGTTCAGGCATCAGCAATCATCATGAGGTTCAGGCATCAGCAATCATCATGAGGTTCAGGCATCAGCAATCATCATGAGTCACCCGGCATTGTAGTGTGCGCACACTCTCTCGAGCTGCTTGTTTCAAAAGTACTTTCAGACATATCGGAAAAGATCGAGGCATGTAATGATAGCAAGGGATTGAAGAAGCCATATAATCTACCTTAGTTTAATAATATCACCTGCAGCGACCTGCTGGTGGCTACACATAATCTACCTTAGTTTGATAGCATCTGTTGCAACCTGTTGGTGCTGGTGGTTGATGATGAATTATACGATAACACAGTAGAAGCTACTCGCTCTCACGGGAATAACACAACTCAGCGCATTGACTGAGAATTTGAGTTAGCGGCGGCGACCGAAGAGAGCAGTTATCACATGACTTGTGCCACCCTTTCAGTGTGTTAATATCAGCCTAACAGTTAATTACAAACTAGACTTCATGAGCCAAACTTGTGGATTCACTTGAGATTCGCTTTTGAGAACACAACAGAGACATTTCGTTCAATTTGTTGTCTCCTTCCTTTCTCTCCTGTTCAGCCTTTGTCCATTATGGGACACTGCACTTTGGCAATGTATCCTCATTAAGTACTATGTTGGACTTACAGGAGGGTCAAGGATCCAAGATTGTCAAATAGATGAGGTGGTAGGCTTGAAACCTCATTGCTTGCAATCCGCCTGTGGAAGGCCAAAAAGAGGGTCTTATTGCCAAGAAATTGGCATGCGTTTGACGTACATTCTTTTAAAAATAGTGAGAAAGACTCAAATAAGAGATATGACACCTGAAACTCCAGCACTGAAATGCTTCAAGTGTGAACTGTAACAGGAATGGTAATGGAAACAGGAATGATAAGAGCAAACACCAATGTCTAGTGTGTGTTAGTGTGGTTAGTAAAGCCAAGCGCAGCGGCCGTTATTGTTCTAGGTGAAATGTTTTGCTGTTTGTAGTAGCACGTTGTCCTATTTGATTTGCAAGTTAATTGTTAACACACACATTGGTATGGGATGTTGAGCCAATAATAAAATGTAGAAAGGAAAAGGACATAATTATGGATACGATCTAGTTACAGTGGTGGACAGTTTCTCTCAACTCGTATCCATATGTCCTTTTCCTTTCTACACTGACACATTGGTGTTTGCTCTTACCGGTCCTGTTACAATTCACAAGTGTAGTATTTCAGTGCTGTAGTTTCAGGTGTCATATCTCTTACTTTTGGTTTTTTTTTTATAAAGACTCAAAACCCTTTTTTCACAGCTGAGCGTAGCAAAAGAATGCAAAAACGTCTCAAGTTTTCACACACATATATTTTTCGAGCAGTTGCTCTTGTTCTGCGGAGCTCCACAGACCCTGCCATGGTGGTCTTTGTTTTCCTCGTGGTAGTTGAAGTTGCCCACCCACCCATTTAGGTTAAAAATGTGTGTCTTCAGCTGTTTTTTTTATTCAATAGTATATGCCGATACGTATAGGTAATGATGTACAACATTTATCACATAATTATAATTTCTTGTTTTCTCTATTCTTGGATCCGACTGGCAGCAGGGCAGGGAGTGATGCATTAGATGTTTTTTTGGTCAAAAGGCGTGTTTTTTCCTCAGTCCGTTTGAGCGGTCATGGCTAGGAATGTAGGGAGTCATTGTTTTCAGGTGCTCCCTTGCTGCCCAGTCACCCATGTTCACCACTGACCATGTTGCTTCTGGTGGATCAGACGGAGTTTCTCGTTTTTCTTGGGGATCGACAACGCAGAGGGGTGAGGAAACAGAAATATCAAAGGGTGGGACAGAAAATGGGCCGGCAGATTCGCCGGCGCAAATACGATCAGCAATGTGGTCATCAACAAAGGAAGTGTGTTCATGTGCAGAAGAAAGATTAGCAGAGATCAGGGAATGCATAGTGCCAGAGTGTCCAACATGAAAGCCATGGTCCAGCCCGTGCAAAACAAACTCAGCAAGGTTTTGGTCAGATATACGTGGCATTAACTTAAAGGGGAAGTTAAGGCAAAAATTAAAATTTCACCAGTTGTAGTCTTCGGGATGCTGAGTCGAATGGTCGTGGTCCGAGGAAGCTGAGACGCTCCCTTCCTACTTGAATCCCAATCGAACTCGCGCACTTCCACCGAAACTGGGTGACTGCGCCCTACTAGATGGGGATTTGTATGCAAAATGTCACTAAAAGCGCCATTTCGTTCTTATAAAAGCACGGATGACCGCGATTGGCCCATATGTTGTACTTCAGTAGTCTTTTGGACGCTGAGTCGACTGGTTTTGGTCCGAAAAGGCTGCGATGCAGCGTTCCTCCTTTATTCCCAATCGAACATGGTTGAACAAGCGGTCACGTGCTCCTGCGTACACCAGTCACCTGGTCACCGTGCCTGCAGGGTACAACTTACTAGACTGTTTGACCTTTTTTGGGTGCAGTCCTGTCACTCGAGTTGAACCTTGGTGTGAAAGTTGTCGCCTGCTGGCGTGGTGACCAGGTGATTTGGGCACCCAGGAGCACGTGACCACTTGTTCAACCATGTTCGATTGGGAATAAAGGAGGAACGCTGCATCGCAGCCTTTTCGGACCAAAACCAGTCGACTCAGCGTCCAAAAGACTACTGAAGTACAACATATGGGCCAATCGCGGTCATCCGTGCTTTTATAAGAACGAAATAGCGCTTTTAGTGACATTTTGCATACAAATCCCCATCTAGTAGGGCGCAGTCACCCAGTTTCGGTGGAAGTGCGCGAGTTCAATTGGGATTCAAGTAGGAAGGGAGCGTCTCAGCTTTCTCGGACCAAGACCATTCGACTCAGCACCCTGAAGACTACAACTGGTGAAATTTTATTTTTTGCCTTAACTTCCCCTTTAATGTGTGAAAGCCAACAGTGTTCAGGGGAGTGGAAGTCAGCTTACTTTTTCTCAGCGGGCTTAGAAGTCTTCTCGTGGCTATCGGCGCTGCCACCTGAAGCGGGTGGTGCAGGATGTGGCGGCATGTTCTTTTTCTCCACAGGAGCTGCAGGCGTGGAGACGGTCGCAGGGTGTGTGGGAGCAGGGCCTGCCGCGGTTGAAGTTAAAACAGACCTGGCGGGTGCTGCCCGCCACTGATGGAAAGGGCTGCGCGTGTTGAGCTGCGGCATGTGGACAGGGGTAGCGGCTGTGTTGGAGCGTGCATTTGGTGTGTCACGTCCCAGAATAAGACAACTGCTGCCTGATAGTCCTGTGATAGCAGGATCTACATAGTGAGCAGCTCTGTGCTGAGCTGTCACGCCCTTTTAGTACAACATGGTTTGGCCAGTGTCTTGTCCCACGTGCTTAGCATGTAGGTTGAGCGACACGCGCTTTCCCACGTAGGTGACATGCCTTCTTGGCATGACACGTTATGGGATCCAAGGCCGGAACCTGGTCAGGTAGGTTCTCGCGTTGTACGTTTCCTGGAAGTTCTTCACTTCCTGGAAATGTGACCCCAGGCTTTGTGCAAAACCACGTCACTACGACGTTCTACAGGTTTCCACGATGCCTCGGCGCTTCGTGCAAAGAGCCAAGACTAATATGACATTGTATAACAAGAGCTAAGTGCAAGACAGGAGACGTGTGCAAGAACCAAAACCGTCACCGCAATGACCGCACGAGAGGTCAGAGTATCAAGCAAGCAAGACCAAGAATGCAGCAGAACTTACCATAAGAAGCCGCTGAACTATGGCACGTTGGGTGAGCGGGCTCCCCAACGTGACCCTCATATACTCACATAGTCATTGTACTCTGACGTGGGTGAGCGGGCTCCCCACGTCCCAATTTGGTCTTTCTCCTCTCGATGTCTTTCTTTCTCTTTCTTCTCGAATGATCACCGTACGTATATTCTGCATTTCTGCTGACTGGCTGCGCACATTCCGGTTTGACTTGTTCTGCTATTTCCTGGAATTACCTTGCAATGATCACGCCATATATCTCTGAAGCACCCTATAAAAGAAGCTCTCATTCTATCCTTTAGTTCAGTTCAGTCTAGTTCTAGTCTAGTCTAGTCTAGTCTAGTCTAGCAGTCGAGACTCGGTCTCAGCTCTCTGTCTTCGTTTACTTTGAGCTCGGATTTGATACTACTCACAACGTAAAACTAACAGTCTCTGTCTGTTGATCGTGTGGGGTTGAACTTGGACCAAGCCAGCTATATTGGTTGGCCCCTGGGTTGTGTTGGGCTTGTCGTGAGGCCACACGTCTATATTCAGTCGCCGCTCGTAGTGATTTCGGGGTCCGGTCACTCTGAGCCGGGGATGCGACAGGTGCATGACGGCCGGGGAGAGCGGAGTAGGTGAATACTCCACGGTGTCTGGTTGATCACGTCCCAGCGCAGTGCCATGCTGGCGGTGTGTTGGCAAAATGCTCGATCATAGTTCAGCACGGCAGACGTCGTGAACTGTTGGTTCGCAGTACAAAGTATGTGCTGATAGCAGACGAGCTCATGAGCTTGGTCAGGACGAGCACGAACGACGATGCCCATGTAGATCGGCCAGGCCGCCAGCGAAGCCGAGAAGTCGTTGATCATGCGCTTGTGCTTTGCGCTGAGGTTGAGCGAGAGCTGAGCCATGTCGCCGCCAGCTGTAACCAGTTGTATTGGCTCCTGCCCCTGAGAGCTGAAGTTTTCCGGCAAGAGTTCCTCAAACCTTTGAAGAGAGTCACCAGTCAGCCATGCAAATATGAGCAGGGAGCAAACTATGAAGTGTCTGGCGCGGCACATGCGCCTTCTGTGTCAACTTATTTGTGTGCGCTCGAAAAATTCATATTATTTGAAACCCAGCGTCAGTGCATTTACTCCAGGGTCCTAGCACCGGGATTTCAGGCGGTCTTGCCAAACGGGATACTGCGAGTGACCGGAAATGAGCATTTGGCTATAAGGTGCATTTTAAATTAAAAAATCAGGTAGAGTGGCCACATTGGAGTCACAAGCTGGTCACAGTTGAGTTGTAAACAACACAAATCAGAATCATTTGCCTTTTCTTTTTAGCTCGCAGTCACTTACAGCTCCTTCAAGTTGATGTTTTTGTCGAAAATACCGGCGGGCAATTCCCTGAGAAAATTGATACTCAGTGATCTGTATGCACACAGGCATAAAATATCAAAGTGCACCGATTTTGGACTCGGATGGACAGCCACACAACAGACTTGTCAACTTTTAAAAAAGAAATGCGTCAGCACAGTCGTCTAGTCTCTAAAGTCTATGCAAAGAAATCAGGGAATGCATCCTGCGTTGGCAAAACATGGGTGCTGATACTAAGAAGTTGCACCGGGCCTTTCACAGTGGTGGTTTTAGCTTTGTCAGCAGCGGCCGAAATATAAAAGAAGGCGTAATGCCATACTTTGCCATGTCGGCGCCATAACCCTGAACACACTGCCATGTATAGATGATGTGAAGTGAAGAAATGAGTGGGAGTGAACAGTACAGCACTGGTGGCTGGTCACACGGGTCAATGTATACGATCCATTATTATTATTATTATTATTATTAGACACAATCTCATAGCATGTGACAAGCATAGCTAATGCAGGGACAGAATCCCCTGAGACAAGGGCGTTGAGCCAGCCACGGCAATAGTAAGCTAGGAAAACAAAGCAAAATATGAATTAGAGCAGAAAATGAATGGAAAATTACAAAGAAAAACGATTAACGGAAGTGAGCACTATCAAAATTCGTGCATCACCCAGGTATTCGAGAATGTTCTTCGATGATAATTATTGCGTCTAGTTCAGTTGTGATAGTAGATCTTTAAACTGACCAATAGAAGAACAAGTTTTCAGACAGTATGGTAATGATAACCAATGAGAGTAGCCGGAAAACAAAGGGGACTTTAGATACTGGGCTGACTTAACAAGAGGCAGGATGAGCGCGTTACGGGTTGAGCTTGTCGAAAACCAATTGTACTTCATCATGTGTGAAGGGGTTTTATGAAGAAATATTTTATGAACCAGTGTACAGAGATGGTGCTTATGACGAACGGAGAGAGGAGAAGTGTGTGCAAGTCGATAAAGGGCATCCGAAGGAAAACATCGATCCTTGTTGTAAAGAATTTTAAGTATAAATCTATGGTGGACTTCTAATTGGTTCAGAGTTGTGTCAGAAAGGCCACACCAAGCGGTATCGCAATAGTCGAATATAGGGAGAATATAGCACTGATAAAATAATAGTTTACACTGGATGGGCAAATGAGTGCAATGTGGTTGTAGTACCCCTAATGCTGAACTGGTTCGCTTGCATACACAGTTGACATGTGCAGCCCAAGAGAGTTTGCAGTCAAACATCACACCTAGATGTTTGTGCTGAGTAACAACGCGGATAGGCATAGTCGAGTCAGGGAAGTATAATGGTTGATCAGGAGGGGATGAAGAAATATACATGGCTTCTGTCTTGTCTAAATTGGGCTGGAGTTTCCACGTTTGCATCCACATGACAGTGCTGTTGATGCGATGCTGCATGGTAAGGAGTAATTGTGCAGGGGAGGAATCAGAACAGATAAGGCCAGTGTCATCCGCATACAAACTAACATCGGGGACAACTGAAGGTAGGTCATTAACGTAAAGCAAGAATAACAAAGGACCCAGAATGGAACCTTGGGGCACTCCAGACGTTACAGGGAGGGGATCGGACAAGAAATAAGACAAGCGAACAGCCTGAGAACGAGCAGACAGATACGAGGATATCCAACGCAAGGCAGCATCCTCCACCCGGAAGGTGACCTCCAACTTGGCAAGTAAGCCACGATGCCAAACGGTGTCGAATGCCTTAGCCAAGTCGAAAAACACCATTCCCACATGCTCCCCACAGTTCCTCTTTGTCGCTATGTCTTGGACAAGTCGAGTCACCTGGTATTGAGTTGAGTCACCACGGCAGAATCCCGACTGAGCTGGTGAGAGAGCCGGAGCGATGTGCAGGTAGAGGGAATCGAATACAATACGCTCACAAAGTTTGGAAACTGTGCGCAGCAGAGAGATGGGGCGGTAGTTTGCCGGGCAAGCACGGGAGCCTTTATTCTTGTAAAGCGGTGTCACGATGGCGGATTTCCAATCCTGTGGGAATGTACCAGTTCGAAATGACATATTAAAAATAATGGCGAGAGGATAGGCTATTGATGGTGCAAGAGACTGCAGCACTTCATTCGGGATCCCATCTGAGCCGGGAGACTTTCCACATTTCAGGCGCTTCAGATATTTCCGAACTTGAAACGTAGTGACAGTGATTGTACGGAACGGAACAGATATGAAAGGCGACTGGGACAAAGGGGGAATGCGCCACGAAGGATCATCAGGTAGCCCAAATGAGGTGAACTGAGTGTTCAGAACATCAGCTATGCTCTTGGGGGACGTGGCGACCGTACCGTCGGATGCTATCATCGTTTGGGGCATGACACGGCCGGAAGTGTGCCGCTGTGCTCGCACAAACTGAAAGAGTGTAGGTCGATTCGGTGACGTTAGTGATGCTTGGATGGAGCGTATATATTGACGATGTGCTTGCCGAGACAGGTGCTTTACAGCATTCCTTTGTCGGTTATAAGCTGCATGATTTACTGCTGTCGGATATTTTTTGTACACACTATATAGATCACGCTTGCGTTTTACAGCAGACCTGAGCTCAGCAGTAACCCATGGTGGAGATTGCATGCGGGGTCGTGGAGATGTCACAGTGTGGGTGGCTCCGAATGAGGTGAGGTGACGACGGAAGGCGGACTGGAGCTCACAATCAAAGTGATGAAGTGCGTCATTAACATCAGTGTACGAGTTCAGAGAGGACCAGTTGTAGCCAGCTAAATCAGCGTTGATTAATTGCCAAAGGTGCGAAGGTACTTGTTTGAAGCGATACAGTGAAGAGGGAGGACCAGTGGAAGAGTTGGGGAAGTAGTTCGAAATAGGGGCGTAACATAAAGTGCAAACAATCTGTATATGGTCAGACATACCCAAGGGAGGTGCTTGATCAATGGAGCGCACGAGGCGTGGTCGGTTGGTGATCACCAAGTCCAGACACGAAACAGAGCCATTAGGCGAGGAATGAGTGGGGAAGTCAACCATCTGGTGGAGCCCAAGAGCAGAAAATACTGTGCTAAGGAGATCACCAGCCTTCGAGGTAGAATCGGTGGGACACCAGCTTGAGTTGTGGGCGTTGAAATCGCCAGTCACTAACAGATCATAAGAATCTAAACAGACTGACTGTAATGCCTCAACAAACATGTCACAAAAGTACGACAATTGCATTGTGCTCTGTGAGGGTGGTCGATACATGCAGCATAGTAAGATGGGATTCTGAGATTGAGTAGAGGGGGAGCCAAGTTCAAGCCACACAGACTCGCAGCCAGGGCGTTGAAGGTCGGCACGAGGGGAGACGTACGGAAAGGAGTCCGAACGGACAAGTACGGCAACACCCCCATACCCACGGCTACAATGCGCTGACCGATTGTCTTCCGGAGGTCGATCTCTGCGGATGCAGATATAGCCTGACAGTGAGAGCGGGTTCGAGGGACAGAGCCACGTCTCTGTTAGGCAGATTATGTCAGGCTTAGCACATTCGGCAATAACGCAGAGCTCAGACAACTTGTTGACAACAGAGCGACAATTCAGAGATACTAGGGTTAAATCACGCTGGGATTTAGGGAAAAAAGGGAACGCTGATGGATTTAGCGCTGGACATGCAATGTGTGCGGGTCGGCCAGAGGAGGGCTGAGCGGGGTAGAGCCGGTGGGCTAGTTTCGATCGTGGGGTGAATACAGGGGCGTTGGGATTTAGTCGTTGTTGCTGCATCGTTGTGTATGTTGGTTTGTTAGCATGACAGTTCAGGATTGATCATCACTGCCTCGCCGCGAAGTAGAAGACGACTTGTTACCTTGGGCATCAGCAAAGCGCCACTTTCGCACTGTGTGCTGGATGGTGGCCGGCCAGAATTTGGAGTCGAGAACTTTGTCCTCGTCCGATGCTGCCACGGTTACGCGAGCATGGCAAGTACCCAGGTACGTGTTTTCTGAAATCGAACAGTTCAGTACGTCCAGGACTCCTGGGGGGGGGGGGGGGGGAGGCGACCAAAAGAGAAGAGATGCTACCAACTCTTCCATCAGATGGACCCCGCGTGTTTCTCCAACAACGCGGGATTGGTAGGAAGGGACTCGGAGGGGCGATGCACTGCGAGGGATTTTGGTGGAGTTTGCACATTCAAAGAACTCCAGTTGCTGGACATATTCAAAACGTTCGATCGGGAAACCCACATACCATATTTCTCGAAGATTGGTCAAACCTTCAAGTTTTTCCATATTAAAAACTTCAAGAGCGGAGAAGGGCGGAGACTTACGATTGAGTGCAACATCCTACTACTCTGCAAATACATTGAAACAATGTGGCTCAACCTGAAAGTGTGTGTGTGTGTGTGTGTGTGTGTGTGTGTGTGTGTGTGTGTGTGTGTGTGTGTGTGTGTGTGTGTGTGTGTGTGTGATACTTTTAATCGAGCGTGACTTATATCAGAGTGCGACATGTGATTGGGGGAATGGAACTTGAGGTTATTGGCCCAATCAACTTACAGAAAGGTCAACGATCCAAGGTTGTCAAAAAGGTGAGCAGGCAAGCTTGTTAGCCGGTTTCGACCAATCCGCCTGTAGTAAACAAAATAACCATGTAAACTACTAGTTTTAGTTGAGACTGAGGACTGGGACTGTGTGAGACAAAAGACAGGGATAACATGTCTGGTAGGTTTGCCAAAACATTGAGCGGGTGTATGCTAGTTCGGTTGACCAAGATGGCAGCAGGGTAGACCTGATGCTTTTTAGTGGACATGTCAACCATAATGTTGTAGGTTCGATTCTGAAGTTAGTGTGGAACAATGTTTCCATCCTCAGAAGACCAATTTGGAACCGAATTTTAGTTGAGGAGGCAGGGGTAAGGGTGGTGAGATTGCAATGGGAGCTGTGCATAGTCTCCCTGCCATTTGGTTTCGCGGGGGAAAATCCACTTCAGCCGCACACAGTATGATACCAGTTTCTGCATACCCGTAAAATCCTCATGAACTGTGTGCAGTCATAATCACAAGTGTACTAGAGATGCATGTTGTAGTGTATAGTGTTTGTCGCAGCGTTGTCTCTCTCCGTACTGTCTCTCACTCTCTTGTCCGTATTATAATGTGCATACTCAATGTAAATAAATCAGTCCTTGTCGTGTCCCACAATGGACTCCTGCGTGGCTTGAAGGCCGGATGCAGCAGATGTAACTGCAGAATACGGGAAAAGTTGCCCCACAAAACCCAGCAGCCATGATACATGGCCAGCAATCGAGGACATCTGAGAGTTGTAATTTTTGTACTCCTCCGAGGTGTGATTTTTGGCGTGCTGGGCCAAGCACAAGGAAGCCATCTGCAAAAAAACTGCAGAAAATGGGTTGTTATTGATCCTTTGGTGTAATCTTTGTTTCTAGTCGAAGCTAGTTGCTGTTTGGAGCAGAAACGCTGAAATTGACTATTTTCTGCATGTACTCATACATGTACTCATGTACTCAGTCATGCAGTCTCACTCGTATTTTAGCTCTTTTTCTGGAATGGATGCTGCTCTGCGCCCCTTGGTAAACATTTCCTGCGCTCGTGGAGCAGCTGAAAAGGACCACTGGTATGTCTGGTTCCTGGTTTGAAAGTGGAGAGTCGACTTTTGTGCCTTGAAAAAGGAGTAGAGAGCGATAAAGGTACGTCTGTGGCTTATTTTTGAGTGCTCCTCGTACATTTTTGATCGTGATAGAAATTCTCAGACCAAAGTCAGACCAAAGTCAGCGCGATGATGGCCGTACAGTTTTCTTGTGGATTTTTTAGTTGTTTCATCTCGTATCTATGTCAGTATTGTGATGGTGAAGTGGAGAGGGTGATTTTCTTCCTCTAGGCTTCGTTCGGCCGACTTTGCTTCGTCCTCGTTGAAAAGTGATCCTGAAAAAAGGTCGATTCGCAAAATTATGTTGATTTTCAATGTACGTGATGACATGCGATTGCTGGCTATGAATACAAACGTACCATTGTGATCAAAGTCATGACGACATTCAGCTGCCAGCGAAGCAACAATGCCCAGTCGTGTCCGAGTGCGACAAATTTGAGGGAGATTGCGCATTCAAAGATGTCCAGTTTCTGGACAAACTCAAAGTCTAGATAAGTGCATTGAGTTGGCGGCTATTGGTTCAATCAACTTACATATATATCAGCGATCCAAGGTTGTCAAACAGGTGAGAAGGCAAGCTTATCAACTGGTTTCGATTCAGCCGCCTGGGGAGAATGAAATATGTAAAGGGTGTTATAAAAAGGCAACCATTTTGGAATTTGATCGAGTTATAGGTGCACAAGAATGTGGCTTACAAGTATTAAAAGTGCAATTTCTGCATGAATTCGTGCTTAATTAACACTTTTACAAATACATTCTTTTACAAAACATCTTTATCGAGTGAAATCAGTAAATGTCATTATGCTTTGCACTTGTGTATGTGTAAAGCAGCATGAACCCGAAAGCCAGTCACACAGAAAGCTCACACACCGGTTACGATCCCCAATTTGAATACTTCTTTCACACTTACAGTTCTTCCAACTTGGTATTTTTCTTGAAAATTTCAGCCGGTAGTTCAGTGAGATAATTACTAGCCAGGGACCTGTGTGGACAGAAGCCAAAAGATACCAAAGTAACGGGTTTGTGACACTGAGTGCAGGAAAAAGCCATCAGTTTATCTTTTTATTCTTCAGTCAAAACCTACTTTCTAGTACGGTTAGTCAACCGAAATATTCGGCGCATATATATTTTCGGCTATTTTCGGCCTGATCATATTTGCTGCAGCCGAAATTTTGTTTTGCAAGATTCAGTGTGACAGTGTATACAGGCAGCAGCAGCACGAAACAGGACGAAATTTGTTGCAGCCGAAATGTGTTTGAGCCCTGGAGGGCCGAAATTTGAATGGGCCGAATATTTGTAGACTTACAGTAGCCAGACACAGTCACGGCTTACCACTCTATGATGTGCTCTCAGACACAGTCACGGCTTACCACTCTATGATGTGCTCTCAGACACAGTCACGGCTTACCACTCTATGATGTGCTCTCAGACACAGTCACGGCTTACCACTCTATGATGTGCTCTCAGACACAGTCACGGCTTACCACTCTATGATGTGCTCTCAGACACAGTCACGGCTTACCACTCTATGATGTGCTCTCAGACACAGTCACGGCTTACCACTCTATGATGTGCTCTCAGACACAGTCACGGCTTACCACTCTATGATGTGCTCTCAGACACAGTCACGGCTTACCACTCTATGATGTGCTCTCAGACACAGTCACGGCTTACCACTCTATGATGTGCTCTCAGACACAGTCACGGCTTACCACTCTATGATGTGCTCTCAGACACAGTCACGGCTTACCACTCTATGATGTGCTCTCAGACACAGTCACGGCTTACCACTCTATGATGTGCTCTCAGACACAGTCACGGCTTACCACTCTATGATGTGCTCTCAGACACAGTCACGGCTTACCACTCTATGATGTGCTCTCAGACACAGTCACGGCTTACCACTCTATGATGTGCTCTCAGACACAGTCACGGCTTACCACTCTATGATGTGCTCTCCGACACAGTCACGGCTTACCACTCTATGATGTGCTCTCAGACACAGTCACGGCTTACCACTCTATGATGTGCTCTCAGACACAGTCACGGCTTACCACTCTATGATGTGCTCTCAGACACAGTCACGGCTTACCACTCTATGATGTGCTCTCAGACACAGTCACGGCTTACCACTCTATGATGTGCTCTCAGACACAGTCACGGCTTACCACTCTATGATGTGCTCTCAGACACAGTCACGGCTTACCACTCTATGATGTGCTCTCAGACACAGTCACGGCTTACCACTCTATGATGTGCTCTCAGACACAGTCACGGCTTACCACTCTATGATGTGCTCTCAGACACAGTCACGGCTTACCACTCTATGATGTGCTCTCAGACACAGTCACGGCTTACCACTCTATGATGTGCTCTCAGACACAGTCACGGCTTACCACTCTATGATGTGCTCTCAGACACAGTCACGGCTTACCACTCTATGATGTGCTCTCAGACACAGTCACGGCTTACCACTCTATGATGTGCTCTCAGACACAGTCACGGCTTACCACTCTATGATGTGCTCTCCGACACAGTCACGGCTTACCACTCTATGATGTGCTCTCAGACACAGTCACGGCTTACCACTCTATGATGTGCTCTCAGACACAGTCACGGCTTACCACTCTATGATGTGCTCTCAGACACAGTCACGGCTTACCACTCTATGATGTGCTCTCAGACACAGTCACGGCTTACCACTCTATGATGTGCTCTCAGACACAGTCACGGCTTACCACTCTATGATGTGCTCTCAGACACAGTCACGGCTTACCACTCTATGATGTGCTCTCAGACACAGTCACGGCTTACCACTCTATGATGTGCTCTCAGACACAGTCACGGCTTACCACTCTATGATGTGCTCTCAGACACAGTCACGGCTCACCACTCTATGATGTGCTCTCAGACAGCCCAATCTACTTGCACATCACCACAATATCAAGGACAATCCCATTGACATAGTGATCTCACTGACCCTTCAGACAGCTGTTTCGCTCCAACAGGGCTTGTTGTGTATCGGTAGAAAGACTTTTCATGGCTCTTTTTTGTTGTGGTCCTTTCGTTTATTTTGGTTTGTTTTGCGTTCTGCTTTGACTGGTTTTGGTTGCATGTATAGTTTGTACATGATCCAAGTAACGGTTACGTCATTGTCATACGTTGTGTTTTGTTGCGCGCATGCTCGTATGCTGCCATAAATGTTAGTCTTTTTCTTCAGTTTTCAGTTTACCTCGTCGTGTCCGGTCTTTTTGTCTGTCCGTCTCCGTCTTGTCAAGAAATTATGTAGAACTCTTAGTTCAGTTTCGTTGTTGTGTGTGGCGGGTCGGATGGGCAGGGAGGCTGGGCCCCTGACGCCTGGACAACATGTGCGCGTGCACAAAAGGGCTCATCAGTGGAGGTAGTAGGCAATGCAATAATATGAGCTGAGCGGATAGTTTTGATGTAGGGTCAAACAGTGGACTGTGCAGTGAACCGTGCCTGGAATATGAGCTGAGTGGATAGTTTTGATGTAGGTTGAAACAGTGGACTGTGCAGTGAACCGTGAAGTGTGACATGCAGTCATAAACTGCAGTGCTGAAGATGATGCCTGCTCTAATAGAGATGATAATACAGGTGTGCATTGCGGGAACATAGCATGCCGAGCTAGAAACGTGTGCGAAAACCAATCAGCAGACAGTAACTGTGAGGAGGTTGTACATGTACTGCGTGTACTTGTACGTGTCACTTTCTCTCCGATACATACACACAAATCGGAGTGTTGAGAGGTTGATGCACAAGTCTACTGGTACCCGTGACATGAGTCAGTGAAGCGGACACTATAATAACACTACGTGGCAGACCCCCCCCCCCCCAAGTCACTCAATACACTGCCTGCCCATCGCCCGTGGTCCCGTTGTCACCTTTGCAACATCTATACTATTGTAATCTCCGCGGTATAGTATCGGCATGGAACCGTGCCGCGGGACCTTTTCTAGCATAGGACGCTACGTTCCAGCAATGCGCACTCGAGCTATCACTTCCACGGTATGCCAAGCTCCATACCAATGCTCATTGCATCTTGATCACTAGAGACTTACACTTTTTCCAGTGATGGAAGATTGTCAAATAGATGAGGAGGTAGACTCTTTAGACAATTGCGTGAAAGTCTCCTGCGCAAAGATGAAATACGTGACACATGAGTTAAATACATGGCATGAATTCATCTAATCCTGATGATGGCTCCTGGCACAAAAATTGATTGAGATATTGTAATTTGCAGCGAAGAGACCACTTGATTTGAGGATGGTGTGTGTAGGGTTTTTCATGATTTCATCTAAACGAAATGAAATGCATATTGCCAGCCGCACCAGCAAGTGATGAAAAGGGTCACCCTCTTTTAACACACATGCATCCATTTTTTTTAAATATTTTTATTCTTTCACTATTACCGTAAAATCCCGCCAGAGCGCCCCATCTCTCCTATCCGCCCCTCCCTGACTTCTTGTCAGGGACGTTATTTCTCGTATCTCTGTCGCAGTCTGTGATGCCGTACTGTACTGCAGACGTGTGCTCGACCCCGTTGGAAATGTACGCAACAGTGCCCACCCTCTTGACCAGGGATCGCACAAACCCTGAGTTTTGACGGGTCTGTACGACTCGTGGCTCTTGACCTTTGGTCGGTGTACGAGATGCATGAACAGTTTTCGTAGGGTGAGTACTTTTTCATGTAGCACTGAATGCGGCAAGTAGGACTCGCCCATCCGCCCCTCCCCACCTGAAGCGTCGAAGAGGTAGGGGCGCTCTGGCGGGATTTTACGGTATTCACACCATGTACTTGGTTATGCAACACAAACCATTATTATCATGATCATTGCCCGCTCACATTCCAGGGAGTATCAACACGCCCCTGATGCCCCTCTCCTGATGCACCTCTCCTGATGCCCCTCTCCTGATGCACCTCTCCTGATGCACCTCTCCTGATGCACCTCTCCTGATGCACCTCTCCTGATGCACCTCTCCTGATGCACCTCTCCTGATGCACCTCTCCTGATGCACCTCTCCTGATGCCCTTCTCCTGATGCCCCTCTCCTGATGCACCTCTCCTGATGCACCTCTCCTGATGCACCTCTCCTGATGCACCTCTCCTGATGCACCTCTCCTGATGCACCTCTCCTGATGCACCTCTCCTGATGCACCTCTCCTGATGCCCCTCTCCTGATGCCCCTCTCCTGATGCACCTCTCCTGATGCACCTCTCCTGATGCACCTCTCCTGATGCACCTCTCCTGATGCACCTCTCCTGATGCACCTCTCCTGATGCACCTCTCCTGATGCACCTCTCCTGATGCACCTCTCCTGATGCACCTCTCCTGATGCACCTCTCCTGATGCACCTCTCCTGATGCACCTCTCCTGATGCACCTCTCCTGATGCACCTCTCCTGATGCACCTCTCCTGATGCACCTCTCCTGATGCACCTCTCCTGATGCACCTCTCCTGATGCACCTCTCCTGATGCACCTCTCCTGATGCACCTCTCCTGATGCACCTCTCCTGATGCACCTCTCCTGATGCACCTCTCCTGATGCACCTCTCCTGATGCACCTCTCCTGATGCACCTCTCCTGATGCACCTCTCCTGATGCACCTCTCCTGATGCACCTCTCCTGATGCACCTCTCCTGATGCACCTCTCCTGATGCACCTCTTTCAGTACGTTGGTGTAGTAAGCACATGCACCACCACTGGCATTCAGTATGCTCTCATTCTTATTCCACACTGCCATTCAGTATGCTCTCATTCTTATTCCACACTGCCATTCAGTATGCTCTCATTCTTATTCCACACTGCCATTCAGTATGCTCTCATTCTTATTCCACACTGCCATTCAGTATGCTCTCATTCTTATTCCACACTGGCATTCAGTATGCTCTTATTCTTATTCCACACTGCCATTCAGTATGCTCTCATTCTTATTCCACACTGCCATTCAGTATGCTCTCATTCTTATTCCACACTGCCATTCAGTATGCTCTCATTCTTATTCCACACTGCCATTCAGTATGCTCTCATTCTTATTCCACACTGCCATTCAGTATGCTCTTATTCTTATTCCACACTGCCATTCAGTATGCTCTCATTCTTATTCCACACTGTCATTCAGTATGCTCTCATTCTTATTCCACACTGTCATTCAGTATGCTCTCATTCTTATTCCACACTGTCATTCAGTATGCTCTTATTCTTATTCGGCCTGCACACTGACTACAGTTAAACCTGTCAAGGCGACCACTCGGATAAGGCGACCACCTGTCCCAGAAGACCACTGAAACCAGGATCAAGGGATGCTATTTCCAGTCAAATGACCCTGGATAAGGAGACCCGATGATCTGGTAACAGAGACCACATTTTGAAGGTCCCTTGAGCGGCGGTCGTCTTAGACAGGTTTCACTGTATACCCTCATGCACAGCTCTTCTATTTACAGACCGACACGATTCACTGGGAGAGTTCAGAAATACAGTATATTGAAGGAAAATGGAGGTAAGAATAAATCCAGGGAGCAGCGACGTGCGGAATAAGCAGCCAAGGCAGACCGGAAAGAAAAAAAGCACACCGCACATGCACACACAGTGGATACAATGGGAAGTCCGCATAGCAACAGTAACTAGGATGATCTAGTGATGACATCGCACATAACACATGCACGTGATCTATAACGCAGCATCTAGCCAGTGCAGCAGCTATGCAAAAAAAACAGATCACTTACAGTCTAGCTAACTTGATGTTCTTCTCAAACGTGCCGCTGTGCAGCTGTGTAAGGGAATTGTATTGCAGGCTTCTGTGTGCACGTGAAAAAAATGGAACACAGCATACATAGTGCGGTGTTCATAATCTCAACAGCACCACAAGGATGAAGGCCTGGACATACTTGCCACTTCAATACTACACAACAACGATTGCACTACAGTTAGAAATACAGTGGCCGCTCAGTTCTGGGCAGTTACAAATGCAATACACTCGATGAAGACAAAAGGAGAACTGTGAAGAATGCACGGAGCAGAGTTGGCACGTAGACAGTACAAGGGCACAGGGGCAAGTTTTGCGGATGTATCCAAGACGCATGTGCCCGCACTGAGGTGTGAAAGAGGAAGCGTGGTCACATCACAAAAATGCCCAACGTGAAACACGTATGCACAAACAGGAGACTCTCTACCTAACGCCATGTTGTTATTTACTAGAAGACATGACTTGTGACATCTAATATCATCAGTAAGAATGTGAGAGGAAAGTATGATGTGAATATCGAACATAACCTTTGTTACAAACTTCTCAAATTTTGTTCATGCTTTCTTTCTCTTTTTACTCCGAGTGTATCATAGTTTCAAAATCCTATAGTTATTTTTTCAATCACCTTCAGTTACGAGATTACAATGAGAATTGCGACAAGGAAACGTTCTGGAACTCGACTCTGGCTGCTATGCTTGTGCCGGATAATGAATGTGAATGTTATTATATCCATTCATACGACGATAACTATCTTCTAGTCGACCGGGGGAAATGTTTAAAAAAAAATTTAATAGTTAGGAACCACTTACATATCCTTCAAGTTGACAGCCTTCTCAAAAATACCAGCGGGCAATTCCCCCAGAGAATTATTGCCCAGAGACCTGTACGAGGCAAATAAGTAAAGGATAGGAGAAAAAATGTGTTTTCCTTCTCTGAAAGGGACCAAGACAAGGATGAGTACAATAATGACAAAAAATGACAAAGAAGATGAGGATGAAAATGACAAAGAAGACAACAACGACGACGACAGAGCAGAAGACAAAACAATATTTTCTTTGAGGACTTACACTCCTCTTAGCATTGTGGAATTGTGGAAGAGATTACTAGACAGGTATTGGATGTTGCCATCTTGTAAATAGCTGCATAAGCATAACGGAATGGAGAGTGGTTACAAGATAGAACTGATAGAACGTCTTTGCAATACAAAATCGTGTGCCCGATAATCGTATTGCAAAGACATTCTATCAGTTTGAACAACACACATAATGCCCTAAAAACAAAGCATGGCGAGGGCTCCTGGGCTTTCAAGCCCTCTCGTTCCCAATTTTTGTGAGTTAAAAAAAAAAGAAAATTTAGGTCTTAAACACACACACCTGTAGATACATTGTAACTTAAGCTCTTACTTCCAGACAGGTATAATTATGTACACTCTACCGAGTAGTTATATTACAAATATTACGCTATGGTGCTAGCCTATAATTTTTTTCAATTTCTATTTTTTCAACACGTAACATGAGATCCAAACCCGGACTATCGCCCTGAATGAATTCCCATGTCATACTTCGCATACATACACATTCTGCCAAATTGCTTCACATTATGATCCGGCCGTTGAAAGCCCTATTTGATTATGTGGCTAGCTTTCTGTGATGGTACGGTACGGGACATGTACAGGATAGCACGCCCTACCACACACACAGATAAACTAAGCAAAGCGGTGTGGACCCTGGCTAGCGCCAGACCCTACTAAAGTAACGTATTTTGCATAGCTTTGGGAACGAGAGAGCTTGGAAGCTCAGGGCCCTACGCTATGCTTTTTTGCCTTGATGACCTAGACAAAAAAAGCATAGGGATGTTATAAATCCTTATAAGTTTCTACTTTTTGTTTTTAGACATATTAAACCTGGGATTCGAACCGCACTATCGCCCTGCATGCATCCCCCGATACACTTCGCATACATACTAATTCTTCCAAGTATTAGTTGCTTCACGTTATGATCTTGTATTTGAAAGCCCTATTTGAATATGCATTGTAGCCAGCCGTCTTTGATGGTACGGTACGGGATAGGTACGGGACGGGTACGGGACGGGTACGGGACAGGTACGGGATAGGTACGGTCGAGGGTAATACGATACCATCTACCGCCTTGATGACGGCAAAAAAAGAAAAGGGATGTTATAAATTTTTCAATTCTCCCCTTTTTTCAGGCATTAAATGGGATTCGAACCCGCATTATCGCCCTACATGCATTCCCCCATACACTTCGCATTCATACTCATTCTTCCAAGTTGCTTCACGTTATGATCTTGCGTTTTAAAGCCCTATTTGTATATTGCGGCCAGCTGTATGTGGCCAGCTGTGTTTGATGGTACGGTACGGTACGAGACAGATACGGGATAGCGCCAGGCGTGACACAAACACACAAACACACAAGCAAACAAACAAACACACAAACAAACAAACACCAAATTAAAGCTGTGTGGACCCTGGCTAGCGCCAGACGTTACTGAAGTAACGTCTCCTGCATAGCTACGGGAATAAATATTTTTCTTTCCCCAAATTATCGTTTGTACTGGAGGTTTGCATGTCGTGCGTCGAGCACTCTGACCCGTAGTCAAGGTTCTTTCCGTAGCTATATTTGGCGTTCCTTCACTGAGTGTAGTAGCTGATGGGTCTACTTTTCGAGGAGAACCTTGGCTATCACATTAGAGTTATCTGAAGTCCCTTCGAGGTACAATTCCGCCGCAGCGGACATAGAGGTCTGAGACAAACTGAAACTTACGCCGGCTCAGTTCGAAAATTTGATATTTCGCATGCAGTGCACTCAGTCAGGTGGAATTTCCCCATGCTGTTACGTCATGCTTCAGAATGTTGCATTTCAAAAACATATCGATTTTTGCACTTCAGAATAGTTTTCTACTGCAGTTTATTTGAAGTAGGTGTGATAAAAGAGAATGAGATGGCAGTTGCTTTAACATTGCCAAAAGACTCAGGGAAACCAGTGCATACTGTAAAGTCGCAGATAAAAGCCGGGCTTATAAGCACATAAGCCGCTTTCTGCATCAGGCTTTAATGCAAACCAGGCTTGTATGCAAACCATGCTTACATGCACCACTGCATATTTTTGCCAGGCTTGTATGCACATAGAAGCCAGGCTTCTGCGCGCGACACGCGTAGATCTAGATCTGACTACTGGTATGGTGGCAGTTTTACTATGCACCGTACATAGCGCATGCACTCTTGACCTACCCGATCCGCGCTTGCATAGGAGCCAGGCTTCTACGCGCGGCAGGCTTATATGCATTTGACCCGTTTGATTTTCAGGCTTCTATCTGCGATGTGCTTGTATGCAAACCCGGCTTTTATTCGCGACTTTACGGTAAGTCACAAATATACATCTAGATGCATAACTCACAGATATTTGACGTTAGGACAACTCGAGAGATTTCTGTCTAGGCAGGAGCAGGGCTTACACGGATTAGCAGTCACGGCTGCTTCAGAGGATTTCTTCCACAGCACCAATGTTGAAGTGGTAGAAAACGTCCAAAACTGGAACAATAAGTATAAGCAATAATACAACAATAAATTCACATGTAGCTTTTGGGGTAGAGGGACGCCGCCTTTTTGGAACGATATAACAGCAAGCATCAAGTTGTCAACCAATGGAGTCAATAGCATAGAATGTTAACTGAGCATATGGAACCTGACATGTCAAAGTTTGTCCAGAGGCTAGAGTCGATCAAACTGAACCATTCCTTTGTTAGATTGATGTATATTTGTGTCTTCTGTTCGCGATGGTATATTTCCATTCTTTGCGGGCTAGTCGTTGGGGAGCGCCTTAGATAGAGGTGTGTTAATGCTGTAAGCACTCGACATTGGTGGGACCAAGTTGCTTTTCGTAAGACTAGCATGCTAGAGCCGTGTAGCTTGAAAAGTCACATGCCTGGAATGGCACTTCTGGTAATTGTAGGCCGTCATGAACGTTTGCCTCAGAACATAACATACCTGATAGCCTCACACCGGCAATGTTTTCAAGTCAAAATCCCCAGACAGAAAGTTCAAATTTGAGCCTGTTCCTACATGCAGGTGACAACTCCATTCTGAAAAGGCGCCCACCCTCGACCAGACAGAATGAGCTTTCTGCAAGATGGACGCAACTTACCAGTATTCAGCTGAACAGCCTACACCATCGGCCATTTCCCATCCAAAACAGCATAATATTATGCAGCTGGCAGGCCCTGGTTCACTGACACTACAAGTGGAATGCACCTGTGATCATGGTGATCTGGGGCGCGGAAGGCTCCCAAAATGTCATGTATTCTTCACCACACTTGTACGGAAGCACCGTTCTACCGGACAGCTTCTCACCAAGGTTACGAACGACTGGCTTGTCTCGCGCGACGCTGGACTGCATACGGCGGTTGTCTGTATTGATTTGAAAAAAGCGTTCGATATGGTGAAGCATCAACAGCTTCTTCTTGCTCTCGCAGCTGTCGGTATTTCGGGAGTGGCCCTGGCCTGGTTCCGATCATACCTTTGTGCCAGACAACAGCGGGTGGTTACCCACACTGGAACATCTCCGTTGGTGGCAATCACTAGTGGCGTGCCACAGGGCACCATTCTGGGTCCGGTGCTATTTAACATATATGTACGGAAGCTCCCATTGACAGCAGAGGCCTTTTCTTGCAAGCTCCCGATGTTCGCTGACGACATGACGTTGTATGCCAGCAGACGTACACAAGCTGAGGCCGTCGCTACCGTTACTGATTCGTTATCTGCAATTTCTGTGGATCTAGACGAGCTTGGGCTGCGCATTAATACAACAAAGACTGTAACTTTGATGATTTCTAAGTCTTCTCAACCCCTCTCAACTCCAATCGTTTTTAACCAACAGCCTCTGACTCAAGTGTCTAGCACGAGAATCCTGGGAGTCATTGTAGACAGTGATGTTTCTTGGTCTGGTCACATAGACTTTATCGTTAGGAAGACTTGCACGAAAATTGGCGCTCTTCGACGGTGTTTTCGGCAACTAAGTTTGAAGGCAACACGGCAGTTTATCCTCTCGGTTATCCTGCCTGACTTATTATACTGCTGCTCTTGCTTTGCAATGAAGCTATCCACCAAGGACCGACAGCGACTCTCGTCCGTTTATCGTCGTTCTGTACGCGCTGCTTGTGGCTCGAAACTACAAGAGGACGTCATGCCGCTGTTAGCTAGATTGTCGATTGATCCGTTTGAACATTACCTTATTCGTAGCATTGCTAAATTTATCCATGTTAATCATGTCGTTTTCCCTCTCCCAAATCTGACGGACCTTTTCCCTCAAGTTTCAACCGGCCCTAGGACAACAAGAAGCTCTTTTAATGCTGCTATTGCAATATCTAAATTCCGGACGACTGACGGTGTCAATTCCTTTTCAAATCGTGCTGCCCTGTTCTTTAATTCTTTGCCTGTGGAGTGGCGCACCCAGCACCGCACTACATTTGCTAAGCACCTTCAGACCATGCTAAAAGACGCAGCGTCTTTTCAGAAGTATTTTGATCTTCTTTTCAGCAAACTCCCTCATTGATCTGCACCGCCTGTATTGTATAACTGTGTTTACTGCGTTCCTAGTTTAAATTCGTTTTTAAAAACATCTCTTTAATTCTTGCACTATCCCATTATGACCATGCTTAAAGACGCAGCGTCTTTTCAGAAGTATTTAGATCTTCTTTTCAGCAAACGGCCTCATTGATCTGCATCGCTTGTATTGTATACCTGTGTTTACTGCTTACTGCTTACTGCTGCTTTATTGTTCCAAGTATCAGTTTAGTTTAGTTTAAATATCTCTTATTATTTTTTTTTTTTTTCTCACCCCACACCCCTCTACCCTGTTATCGGCCCTCTTAAGAGTTGTGTTCATCACTGTTGAGGCTTCCGATGGAAAATAAAAGAATACTACTACTACTACTACTACGGAAAGAAAAGTTTCCTGTCGAAGTTCAAATTAATATCAAAATCATTTTTTCGGCTTGTCCTTTGCGTTTGTTTTCGCCCACTGCATGCTGAGTCTTTTGCAAATTTTGTTGTTCACTACTATACTAGGTTGTTTAGCAGCGCCTTGCTTCCGCCCATGCATGCCCCACCAATCGACCTACAACCTTCGTAATGTTCACATGACCTACAAACGTTTACTCCAAAAGCGCACTCTTCAGTGGACCCCCTAGGGCCTAGGGTCTGTTGGGGATGTCCGAGTAATAGTAGAAACAATACATGTAGTTACAATACAAATACTCACGGCCCTTGTTTTAGGCTGCCGTTACGGCATTAGGGTACTAGGATGAATAAATAAATGAGCACATACCTAACGACTACCGGTATACCGTCGACAAAGTGCTCTCCCTGGGGCTTGACTTGGGCATTCACTCCTAGATCCTTCGACTCCAAACGTCCGCAACCATCTTGCGCCAGCTTCCGACACTCTGTGGTGACTTCCGTTTGAGGCGAGGACGCTAGGCGGGAGGCCGACATAGAAGGAGAGGCCATCGCCGAATATTCGATTACTAGTACTTGTCGATGTCACTCTTGCAGCACCCTCCGACACATCCAGCATTCGGGAAGTTGCGTTCCGTCACTCACCTCGTAACGCGTCGTCGTCCAGTCGTCCTAGTATCACATGCACAGCACTTGGTAACGGAACTGCTCACGCTCGTCCGGACGTAGACTACGTCCGGCGTTGCTCGCGCAGCACGTCGCATCCAGGATTCAAGAAAATTTACCGGTACCGGTATGAGCAAGTGATACGGTAGTGACACACCACTAGTACAGCTGTACTACACTATTGACAGTAGTGTGTCGGACAGTCTGTCTCACCACTCCCTGGTCAGTAGATCAACTCGAGTCAGACTCTGTGAATGACCGTTTACCGGTACTAGTACAGTAGTAGTAGATCTACTAGTAGTAGTAGGGTCCGCGAAAGACGTAGACCCGGGTGCTCGAATGAGACACAGGGTACCAAAACAGAAACACCCTGAAATTGTACCTAAACTTGTTCCGAATTCGTTTAGTTTTCACAAATACCATCAACATACGGCCTGCTAACGGTATGCCAAATTTCAGCGCTGCCCGGTAAACACTTTTTGAAATACTCGCGACCCACTTTTTGCTGGGTCCTTGATTCGAGGATATGGGTCTCCTGTACGGTGCTGCCAAAGACCTGCTGAATCTGCGGCTCCACTGACCATCTTGCTCTCAAAAATGAAGTAGTAAGTTACTACTCCCTGCCCTCAACTGCCACACCAAGCGTAGACGATGGCAGACCCGTGTGCATGAATCGGAGACGATCTGACTAGTTCGCTGTTTCTGATTCGAGCACCCAATTTTCAAATAAAAAATCCGAAGGAAATACGACAATTTTACTGCGTACTGTAGCTTGTGTTGTAGCGCACCCAGGTTCTGAATTCCTGCTGGGTGGGTCAAGCCAGACTCTCTTCCCTGTTCCATCGCCTCTCCAAAAGTATATTCTGACATTGTTGAGATTTACAGATGAGAAATTGCACACCTGTCAAATCGTTTCTGATTCGAGCACCCGGGCCTACAGGTATGCTGCAAAGAGTGCGCTCGTCATCATTATTATTTTAAAATATCATTGAAAAGGCATACACGGAGATTCAGACTGTCTATGTTCTCTGTCCTCAACTTACTTTCTTATTCAGATTGTGGCCGTCTGTACTCTGATTACCAGTACTTATACACGTGGTATTACTTTTGAAGGCGTTGGCTAAAAGGCAACCATTCTCGATCTCCGAAAAAACGCAGCATACAGGCAACATTTGGCCTTGGTCAGAGTGTGAAAAGGCGGAAAGAAAAGAACACTTGTATACTTGTATAGAACGTAGTCAAGTAGTGTCCTCCACTGGACCACTGCCGAAGAGTGCTCGACGACCATAGTACCATACAAGGCGGGGCCCTGAGGCTGTCGCGTTACTGTTTGTTTTAGAGGATCCGAAGTAGTATAGGGGGAGGGGGTTCTGGCTCACCTAGCACACAGTCTTAGGCATGCCCTCACTTAGTGGTGTATCTCCATATACACCACTAAGGGAAATCAGCAGTATTTGTCGGTGAGGAACAAGCCATTAGGAGGCCACTCAGATTCGTGGGTCAAACACTTTTGATGAACAAGTCAGGCACTATCAACTTCATGCTTTGTGGTGGAGTTTTGCACCATTTCTTGTTTTCACTAACCGCTCCCTTGCACAGACAACCAAAACAGATTGTTGTTCATCCTATACACCACGTTGTAAAGTGCTGTCAATAATTAATTGTGAAATGAAAATATCAGGTATACTCAGTACTACAAATTACAGTATCCGCACATACCCATAGTGATAGATACCGCATGATGGCGCGCAGTTCACGTGTGATAACAGCCTATACGATCCAACCAAACCAGATCAGCGCATTGAAATGCTATAGCTGCATATAGATTATAGGTATTGTCCACTTCGATCAAGATTATGATTCTCAATTCCGTTCGAAGCTTGAACAAGACAGATCAAGACAGATCTACTCTCCCCTGTCGCTTCTGTATGCTACCCCTAGATCACTGTGGCAGGACTGCAGGAGTAATCTACATTCATAACCCGGGGGTTATCTACTCTTGCCTAGGTAGATCTCTGTAGGTCCCATGTGGTGGTCGCCTCCTTACGAGCTATGTCACCTCCTTACGGGCTATGTTACCTCCTTACGGGCTATGTCACCTCCTTACAGGCTATGTTACCTCCTTACGAGCTATGTCGCCTCCAATTACGGGCAATGCCGTAACGAGGACATGGCTCTTTGTTCCTTTTTTGGTGCACTAGTGGAGCCAGTCTCATAGATTGCACCGTAATTGATACGCAAAGGTTAAACTTGTGTATACGTGTGTGTTGCTCAGCGGTAAAGAATAACCATAAACAATCATTGAGTGTAGAAAAGCGCAAAGTGCGAAGGTGAGGCCTCGAGGGAAACTGATGTACAGTGTTACCCCCCGAGAGCATGAAGCTTGAAGTCGTAGCAAGAAAACTTTGATTGTCCTTATTGTTCTGTTAACATGTTCTGGATGTACAGTGTTATGTAGCATGCTGAGTGTGCGACTCAGATGGGTTGCTGACTTGCTGTACTACATTTCGAAATTCCCGGACTACGTCATCCGTTGTAGTGATGTAACTTCGTTAGGATGACCCAAAGGCTGACCGCCTATCGTGGGGTCCGTCGCATTGAAGGATGATGGTACAAGAGAGTACAGATTGGGAAGGGGGGGGGGGGGGACTACGATGAACAGGGTAACGGCATGCCAGCGAGTAGACCTGAATACTGACAAGAATGTTTGCGCAGCTCTTTCTTGAATACATGGACAGAAGATTCCGAAGTCAATGTGGGTGGGAGACAATTCCAGAAAAGGGAGGTTTTGAATAAAAAAAGTGATTTGGATGTTGTCAAGGCTTTGGGGAGGATAATTTTGTTGGGGCGTCTCTCACTACGAGAAGTATTAAAACTGAACTGAGCCAAGGTGTTCCGGTATTTGAAAATAAACTTGTGCAATGTAACTAGGCTAATGAATTGTCTACGGTACTGCAGTGATTCTAGTTTGGCGAATGCGTTCAGATCTTGCTTTGGCGTGTTGAAGGCAAATCGAAACTTACGCCGTCGCAAGTACGACCTGATGAATCTTGCTTGGAGTTTGTCTAGCTCGGTATAAGCAGCTCAATTGTAAAAGCCTCTTTTGCGGGCGAACAAAACACAATTTGCCATGGTGGGGAATTGGAACACAACTCACATACTGAAAACAATTCCATGAAAGGTTGAATGTGGTGAGGAATGAGGACACTACTCAAATACAGCATAATTATACGAAGTGAGTACATGACATTGTACTGAGGTAGAAGGTGACAGGCGTACACCACTGCACTGATATACTCTCATAGAAAGGAAATTCACTATGAGAAGTGACATCATGTCACCTAGCAAAGCCTATCAATTTAGCAAAGCAGCTCAGTTGTACGCATAATGTCATTTCTCGCCGCACATCTTCACCAGCTATGATGTAATCCCGGAACTATTTCGCCTTGCCAAACACCCATCCCATGCAGAAAAGGCGGAAGCCGCACACTCTGGGTTTCATGTCATTGTAACTCATTTGTTTCATGTAAGCATGATGATGTAGGCCAGTGGCCATAACCAGATACAGTACTTCTGTCTTGCAGCCCCCCCCCCCCGGCCCCCCCCCCCCCCCCAAAGCGTGCAATTGGCATTAGGGAGTCGTCAAAGTAAGTGTCAAAGTATTTGACGACTCCCTGATTGGCATGCACCCAGCGCTCGGTGAAATTCCTACATTACATCACGCACATCGCGTCATCCGAGGAACGTTTTGCTCAGTCGTACGATCGTTGCGATTTCCTAAAAGGAAGTCAGTAGTAGTAGTAGTAGTAGATTTTATTATTTTACTAGGGGAGTCCCAACAGGCGTTGCCTTTTTACTGGGAACCCTAGGTGAATTTTTACCATGTTTACATACAGAGTAAGAGACGGGGCCTGACGGCAGTCAGTGGGAAGAGCATTCCATCTGTCTGCCGCCAGGTCAATTCGTTAGGGAACAGCCAATTCATTTGTTAAGGAACAGCCACCACTTCCTTGCCGGATATTTCCATTCTTGCCCTGGAAAGGACCAGAGTTGAAGAAAGTTGGTCGTGTGCTGAAATCTCTAGTGGATATGACCCATAGTGCCATAGTGTGGTCAGTGCAGTTATGGTGTTTACCACGGTACGTTCGTTCACGATGCTGAACGGGAAGTCCTACCAATTCCCACGAATTGAATTACTTCATATACAACTTCAAATGCCGACAGTGCGGCAGTCTGTATGTTGGTAGGACCCACTAACATCTGTCCGAACATTTTCCATTGTCCTTGCTGATGCAGGCTGCCAGGTCTTGCAGACCGAGGCGTGGCAGGCAGCTAAAGCACCCTCACCCACAACCACCGTCTCTAGTCTGCCAGTACAGCGGCTGGAACGTAGGTCCCCCGCTCTAGTTGCGACATTCCACTGAAGGTTGTGACGAGAAAACGTTCTGGACATCACACTTTGGTTGCATTGCAATGTTTGTGATATGAGTGCGCACTATAATAATTATACGCTAACCAACGAAGAGACAAAATTAGCAAAATAGCAATCAACAGACTACTAAATCGTGCAGCCATATGAATACAAAATCTCGTTAACGTTTTCTCCGGACCCTGATTAGTGGATTTCGTCAGCAAGTGGATGCCAGTCGTGACTCAAAAAAGTCACAACATACAGTAGAGAATAGAGGAGGTCACACGTAGAGCAATAAATCTACTTCGAAGACACGCAAGTACCAGCATTTGCAGTAAGTACACTCGCGCGGTCCACACCATTGCCATTGCCATAAGCCTTTTGCGCGTTGTACAGATGTACGAAGTTCAGTACTAGGGCGTAGGTGTGTACAGAACCGATTGGGTACCGGGTGTTCATTGTGTGCTATGCATGCGCAATTGACCATTTTTTTTTTTTGAGAGAGAGAGAGAGAGAGAGAGAGAGAGAGAAATAGATAGATAGAGAGATAGAGAGAGAGAGAGAGGGAGAGATAGAGGGAGAGATAGAGGGAGAGATAGAGGGAGAGATAGAGAGAGAGATAGAGAGAGAGATAGAGAGAGAGATAGAGATAGAGAGAGAGATAGAGATAGAGATAGAGATAGAGATAGAGATAGAGATAGAGATAGAGAGAGAGATAGAGAGAGAGAGAGATAGAGATAGAGGGGAGAGATAGAGAGAGAGATAGAGAGAGAGATAGAGAGAGAGATAGAGAGAGAGATAGAGATAGAGAGAGAGATAGAGATAGAGATAGAGATAGAGATAGAGATAGAGAGAGAGATAGAGAGAGAGAGAGAGAGATAGAGATAGAGATAGAGATAGAGATAGAGATAGAGATAGAGATAGAGATAGAGAGAGAGAGAGAGAGAGAGAGAGAGAGAGAGAGAGAGAGAGAGAGAGAGAGAGAGAGAGAAAGAGAGAGAGAGAGAATTATCGGTGGCGCTAGTTGTTGTCCGTTGCCCAAAGCCAGTGCTTGTGGCGCAAGTGCCTGTGAACATTCACTTTGAACGCCTGCATTTTCTTAACCTGGAGGTTGGCGAGCATCTCTGCTGGGAGGCTGTTCCACACTTCCACGAGGCAGAAGGGAAATGACCGGCGGTTGTAGTTAGGGGCACTGTGTGTGGGGTCAAGCTTCAGGTAGGCAGGGTGGCGGCTGGCGTCGAGCTGCCGTCTAGTCTTGGGGTGAGGCCATGGCGGTTCCGGAGGTGGAAGCATTGCGGTGAGTTGCGCTGGGCCATCAGTGGAGCGTAGCTTGTACAGGTACGTGAGGCCAGCAACCGAGCGGCGTAGACTGAGGGAGTCCAGGAGGGTGCCTGGGCCGATGATGTCCAGAGCCCTCCTCTGGACTCGATCTAGGTGATCGAGATGGGTCTGGCAGGCGCCCATCCAGACCAATGGGGCATACTCCAGGACTGGGCGTACGAAACCTTTGTACATTGCCAGGCGACCGCCCCGAGGCAGGACGTGGGCAGCTCGTCGGAGAAAGCCCAGCCGTTGGCTTGCACGGACTGCGACATTGTGGAGGTGGTTGCGGAATGACAGCTTGGCATCAAATGAGACTCCCAGGAGTTTAAGGGTCTCAGTCTTTGCAACTGGGGTACCTCCAAACGTTACAGGGTCCAGCGCTGGGGTTTCTGATCTCGTGCTGATCACCAGTTGCTGCGATTTCTGTGGCTCGAAGCGGATGCGCCACGATTCTCCCCACCAATAAAAACAGCTTCCAAAACCTGAAGAACCAGACAAACCTTATGGCAGGCACTTCCTCGATTTATAGAAAAGAAAAAGGACTAAGGGACTACACGTTACGCTATATTAAAATGTCCACTAACACCACCAGCAGCTACGAAACAATCAGCTCGTGCGATAACATTGCACGACACTGACCGACGGTACTGACGTTCTACAACTACATGTACATGTAACTGGCTATCAGCTCTAGCACATCTTGGATACGCACTCCAACAGCCTTCCAACTAATACTTGGAAGGTTCTAAGTAATTACGATAACATAGGAGGGGAAGGTGAGCGCAACCAAGACAAGCACGAGCCGAAAGTCTCAGCTGTGAAGGACGTTGGCGGAGGTACATGTACATGACTTATTTCTGTTCTGTTTCCGTTTGTTATGGGCTGCATGGACAGCTCTGCACATTGCTGCAGCCCGATACCACACCAATGGTGTGAAACAATGAAGTAAGAACCAAACCAAAAAGACAACAAATTCGGAAATAAATAGAGCACTCAATTGAAATGTAAGATTGAACACAAAAGCCTGACAATAAATGGATAATGGGCCAGTATTATTGTAAAATATAAAAATTAGAAGAAGAAAGCACAATGTCATGGGAACGAGTTATAAAGCTACTATCCACGACTGTAAGTGTAACCTTGAACCTTCCAAGTTAGTTGGAAGGCTGTTGGTTTGCACACTGGGGCACACTGGAGGTGTGTGAGATGTGTTAGAGCTAGGTCTTAGGTCGCTGAATGTCTCAGTAGCCGTCAGTTTTGTGCTCTGTTATCGCACGTTCTGATTGCTTATTATCTTGTTACAGTCGTAGATAGTTGCTTCATACCTCATTCCCATGTGCTTTCTTCTATTTTTTCAATTAATCGTTACCTAATAAAATTGTCTACCGGCATGCAAAGTGAAGAAGAGGTTGGTGCAACTTCGGCGATAGTAGGGGAAGAGTGTGTTGCTCCCTACATGGGAGCTCGCGGTTTTCCTTCCGACTTGAATTCTCACTTGACTGACTCACGACTGCAATCCAGAGCACACGAGAAGCAAAGGTTGCTGCTAATACTGCTGAATAGCCGTGCAGTTCTTGCTCGCGTGGAAAACCCTCTAATCTCTACTCTACTTTAGATTGTGCGCTTTAGTCAATACCCATTTGCATTGGTGACGAATTCCAGTGATGTTTATAAGATTCATTATTGTTCTGACTGCATGATTTTAAGATTGAAGCAGCATGTCAGATACCACTACTGCACCAGTCATGAATCGACCAGTACAGTGGACACGACATGTACATGTCGCCTGGTCGATGCATCAGTTCACACAAAAAAATTAATTGTGTGAGATGATGGTGGTGGTGAGAAGGAGAGATCTGTGCCAGGGTACGGGTACCCGGGTGTAGCTAACTAACTTTGCAGTGTAGAGCGCTGTGTGGACATGCGTGTGTTTGCCGCCATTTCGCCAGATCGATGTGTCTTGACCGGCGTGTATACAGTGGTCCCTCTATAATCCGGCACCATTTTGTGCCACGGAAAATCTGCTGGATTAGCCGGGGAGGGTGCTGGATTAACAATATCATGTACTGTTTCAATGTGCATGAAGAGGACATTTTGGCTACTGAAAATTGTGCTGGTTTATCGAGGGTGCTGGTTTATAAAGTGCTGAATTAGAGAGGGACGACTGTACTCAACCACAAACACAGCTGGGCCCATGGGAGTGGATTAGTAAGGATCATGATTTTTTTATTTGATTTTTTTATGATCCTTTTTCTCGACTGTGGCCTATTCTCACCCACTTACTGCGATGTAGTGTGCCCATAAGCGCAATCCTTTCCAAGCCACACCAGAGTTTGGGCATATCGGGTAGGTATCAGCAGTTGAGCAGTCCAATAGCTTATTGCGTCACGAGTCTTTCCAAGATTACTTTTGAATCTTTCTCCCGTCTCCTGCCTCCTGGCGTTCTGTCAACAGTCTAGTTATAAGATGCCTCTCCCATATTAAAGGCCATATTAATATGCAAAAAAGAGTTATTGTGTGGCATGTGTGTGCATCTGAATAATAATAATGTGTACCGATATGTAAGCAATGGACGTTGCATGCGCATGTGTGCGCGTGCCTATGAGGAGACATACTGTTTATCATGGTTATTCTATTTCTAGACACAATAAGGTGATCTGGTTATCCATGGCAAGTACCGACGTACATAATAAAAGACTTAGTGGTCCAAGGTTTGGGGCTGGCCGCATCTTCAGGATTGTGTGTGTGTTGGACTTTTTTTGTAGTGAAGAGAGTGTTGTAACTGGTAAGTACACGATGGGCAGAAGGAACTGTATAAACTAGAACACGTGCTTGCATTGCGATATTTAGAAGTGAACGATCTTACCAGCACTGCCAGCTCACTAGTACTAGTGTGCACAGGGTTATGCAGCACATGCCTGATTCACAATTTTATATTATTGCTATGACCTGCTGCAGCCTGATAGTACAATATTTTGCCTGCGCTTGCTGGGGAACTCATCGCCTATAACTTAGTATAAGTAGTTTGCCTTGCAAGAGGCAGTGTGATGCTCAATAACCCGCACCGCGTTCCACTCACCCCGGCAGGCGGCAATCACTTTATAGCTTTAGTGCATCCAGGCACTTGTATGCCGGTCTAGGGGAGCGGGCCCCGGTTTGCGAAATGGCATGGGCTACTCACAGGGTGCTGTAAAACTATGGCGTGGGTTTTGGCCTTGTCGCCCTTCCCTTGGGGCAGGGCCAATCAATGCCATCATATCTGTGTCATTGCTCCATCTTGGATGTTGAGCACCCTTTTCGCAGCTCTGGTCTGGGATCTGGTATGATACCATATCCGCATCCGTGAACTATAGGTAGAACCTCTGTATCCAGGGTTTGAACACACACATCGTTTCGGGTGCTGTCGTCTCGTGACATCTCCCTAAAAGCGGACAGTAGCCATGGTAACGTAGTCCCTGGGTGCACCGCAGTACAGCTACTCCAGCATGAAATCTCCTTTTGCTCTTGTCAGCCTTTGAGCAATACTGCTGCGCACTACCTCTCTCTGTAGTCTGTAAAATGGTGGTCAACACCTGTCGCACACCACATTACACGATCTATGTAGCCGCAAGGAGTTCTGTCACATCTTCACGCATGTGGAGTCTTGAAATCTTTATTCATATTTTCTCATTCATTTTTAAAATCACTTAATCTTTGTGTCTTTCTAAATTAACCTCTCCATTGCTACGACAGGATACTGACTGGCCACTAGTAGTGGCTGGGGTTTCCACCATGGGAAGATGAAAAGAATGAAAAATTCTTACAAAAAACCTCTACTCGGTCACTTCCTGCTGTTTCAATACTAACGGAGTGACTAGGTTAGAACAATGCAAAAGAAGGAAACAAAATTTTGTTTCGCTGTGTATCGGCAATAATTGTTAGCTGACAAACAGCATAGTGTTGAATTGTATTCACGGGGAACAACACACTTCTATCTAAAGGCTCTGGGTAAGGAAGCTAGTAGTTCTACACATTGTCAGTACGGTGTACTGAGAAAGCATTCCGGACGAGACACTCCACATTGCTTGCACACTGGCAAGGTCTGATTGAGTCGACTTGGCCGAAGCCCATTCAAGAACAACACATCCATTCTGCTCTTCAGTGAGTGCGGCGGCACGGTTGTCACGGCAGCCCTGTCGCTGTACCTCACCATATCATTAGAATGACGCCCTGACATTACAGCGAGGCTCTGGTAGGGAGAGGGATAGGGTTCCTGATTGGACTCTCTTGTGCCCAATATCCCGATGCCTGGAGTCCACGCCGCCAACACAGATTCTTGGATGAAGCTGTGTCGCACTGCCAATGGGCTGCTTATATGGAAGCTTGCATAAGGGCTCAACCCAGGAGAGATCATCGTAATTGTTTTCCCTCTTACCTGATGACGTTGGGCTGTTGAGTGTGCTGTTGTTTGTGCTATCTAGACTGCCCGTGGCATAGATATGTTCATTTACAATGGCGCCCAAGTTCACCCTCCCTTCAATCGTAGGAAGGTCACGGGGACGAGTACTCCTTGATAAAAAGGAAATGCTTCGACCAAAGGCCGCAGCGGCAGGCACGGTGGCAGTCCTCGAGTTCTCAGTAGCACTGTCGTAGTCAGGATCTTGTTCAGAGTCCGACGGCCTGTGATCATTATCGTACAGGTATTGGCTCTGGCTACAGTCAAAGTCATAGTCATAGTCATCACTATTAGTGTGACTTGTGGGCGTGTTGGAGCCAAACATATGCTCAGTACTTGTGCGTGTGTCCGTACTCAGGGAAGTCATTGTGCTGGCCGTGTAGGCACGGTGCAAAGGGAAGCTGCCCTCCGACACCATAGACGAGTGCGATGCAGTGCGCCTCGAGCGTTCGGTGCGGGGCGACGTGTGGGGCGACGGCATTGTGCACAGTAAATCCGTAAAGTCATTGGGGGTTAGAACCATTTGTGAGTCCTGGGAGATCAAAGAGAATTCCGGGTGCATAATGAGATGGTCCCTTGCTGTCCTAGCTAATTCTGCATTTCTCTTAAACCCACATTGAGGGTATTGGTCATTGGCCAATCCAGGCAAGGGGCCAACTTGGATCGTCTGTGTGTAATGGAGGTTTTCTTTGACCGTCGACTGTGTGTAATGGAGGTTTTCTTTGACCGTCTGTGTGCGATGGAAGTTAACTGTGTCAACGGATGCGTAGTCCTTGGATGGCTGCATCTCAATATGTTTCACCACAGGGTGGTCTTCGATGGACGGAGCACCTGTGCATACGTGACATGGACAACAGACACATTGATAGCAGCAGCAGCAGTTTAACATCAACAAGAGCAGTAGCAGCTGCCACAGCAGCAGAAGCAGCAGCAGAAGCATCAGGCAAGCCAGGAAGAGATCAGGAACACCAGCAACAGCAGCAACAGGAGGAGCAGCAACAGCAGCAACAGCAGCAGCAGCAACAGCAGCAGCAGCAACAGCAGCAGCAGCAGCAGCAGCAACAGCAGCAGCAGCAACAGCAGCAGCAGCAGCAACAGCAGCAGCAGCAGCAGCAGCAGAAGAAGATGTACACAGTGCAATGATACGCTCAACAACACTTCCTTGCATCATATACATGTAGATATGTTACGGTTGTAAAGGGGTGCATGTTTCGGAATACATTTCACAGCTGTGCTTCTCGAGAGCTGTGGCATTGGTTAGGATGCAAAAACGTTAGTCTGGGTGACTCTGGCTCCAACTAAAAAATCTTCTGAAAAGCTATGTCATCCCTGTCTTGTGATAGCACTCCGCACAACAAGGTAAAGAGTCACGCACTGTTTCCATGCATTCTTGTTTTTCCAAGAATGTGTGATCGTGTCATTCAGAAGATGGGGCATACACGCTACTTTGGTGAGGGTAGTGCGAGGTTGGCAGCAGAGAAACCAGGTGGTATGACTATTGAGACTTCGAAACAGCATTTGTGTTTTTTTGCAAAGTAACTTCGGAATAGCAGCAGCTTTTAGAGTTTGTAAACTCACTATTTGCTTGTGACATTGAGACATTTAGCGGCTCAGTTCACTATTTCCTTTCACATGAGCAGCCTGAGCGAAAGGTAGGGAGAGGGCGGCACGGTTGCTCACGGTTGCTCTTGTCTATTTTGGTAGTGACTGTAATGGTGCTGTTCCTCTCTCGATGCCAACCCGGATGGGCGAATAATAATAAAAATAACTTCGGACTAAACCTAAGAAGGGGACGACCTGTTCCAGAGTACCACTAAAACCAGAAAATCAGAAAGTTAGCCAGGGCAGAACAGTGCTCTTTAGCCAGGGCAGAAAAGTGATCTTTCCTCGTAACACCGCAATCATCAGCTCGTTTCTACTGTACCTTCAATGTGTTACATTTCGGCAAACCTTCCGCCGTTAGGTTTGCACTGGCTTGCAAGCTCAGAAGTCAGAACACAGCAGCAGCATCGTGATGTGAAAAGCCGAAAACGTCCGCGTTGCACAAGCTGCGACAAGCTAGCAATGGCGCGAACATTTTGTTTTTCAAGATTTCAGTGTAACTGGGAAAGGTGAGATGTGCTCCAATTAAGTTGCCTTGCTGCAGGATGCCCCCCCCCCCATGCCACTTTTACATACATGTACTTGCAACATGTAAATAATAATTATACTATTCCTTCTCAGGATTGGTTGCGTGCCATGAAACTCCGAGCACCAACCATATTGAGTTTGCAACCATTGTCAACTGATGTTGCAAGCTCTACTTCGGGTATCAAGCACTCTCACAACTGAAGTGCACCTTTGCTTTGTACTGTTCTTCAAAATTACTTTAACTTTTTCTAATAAAATCAAAATAATTTTAAAATTAATTAATAGTCGACCAGGAGAATTCGGCTCTATATTACTTACTCTTTCTGATGCGTCCCAGTTTCTTATATAGTTGAAATACTATGAGTAAAAGAGCGAAGAGCCCTGCGCCAATACCCAGGCCAGCCGAGAAGTTCATGCCCGGCGGCACGACTGGTGGGAGATATTCCTGGAATGGTGTTGGTGTCAGAGTCGTCGTGTTTGCCGTACTTTCTGTTGCATCACCGCCACCGGCACTGGGGTCGGACGCTGACGACGGCACTGCAGTGACTGGTATTGTCACCTGAACACCTAGTTTGGTAAGAAAAGTCAACAGAGACAATACTCCGATTGATTGGTTTGAGGGGAAATGTAAACGGGAAAAGTCTGAAGAAAAAATTGACTGTCACCACCAGGACTCGAACCAGGGACCTTCCCTTGAGGCCACGCTCTAAGCAATGAGCTATGGTGTAGAGACAATACTAGTAATCGATGTTCCTTCCTAGCCTGATTAGTAGCACAGCACCATGATCACCAGCGTTATTGCTCAGACAGCCCGCTTCCAAAACTACTGTAAAAAATACCAAACTGTAGCAGACTAAGGATCAGTTGGGGAAGTGAACTGCCTGAAAAGAGAAGAAACCGCCAGACCCACCAGGACTCGCCTGCCTTTGTTACCTCCCTGTAAACCACGAAAACCCATCAGCCACTAGGAAATGATGCAGTCTGTACTACCAATACCATGCAAAACTGTAGTATAGGCCAATGATTACTTGTGTATTACTGTAATCAGTGCATGACGATTGTTATTTCTTACATTTGTATTTCGTATTTCCTGCTCCTGTCCACGTGACGAATCGCTGGCCTTGTAAGCCGCGCGCATGCTCACGTGTTTCTTGCCTTTCTCTCTCTTCTCCTCCATGACAAGTTACATTAGTTTTACTATCGATATGAACAGTTTGAGTGTCTGATGAAACCAGAGAATAGTCTTGTATTACTATAAAGAAGGGGAATCCTACATTGGTGGCAGCGGTAAACACTCTCGATCTCGTCTCCTGAGCTGCGGATCGTCTCCGAAGAAGCCTCGACACTCTGGACCACGCAAGTCACCCATTCTACCTCCGAGATGTCGTAGATTTACCTGTCTTCTTTATCAAACTACTAGTAACTTCAATGATGTTCCTGTCGTCTCTTGCTGTTCGCTCTTTTATGTGCATGATAATTAGAGTGTTTCCTTGTTGATTGCTTCAGTGTTTGCCTGTCTTTGCAACATAGTGCGGCGCCTGCCTGTCTACATTTCGTTTGTTTTCTGTACGTGCATGCACTACATCGATATACGTGCACGTAACTAAGTTGTACTTGTACAGTCTGCCACGTGAACTTTTGAACAGCGTGCGTACGCGGCGTTCCATTTTTGCTGTTGAAAAAAAGCGTACACTGTTTTTGCCGCCTTCGGTTTCGAACCGCGACCCGTTTCGTACCCGTGCGGCCGCGCGGCTCAGCTAGCTAGCTCCACATTTTTTGTGCTTTGGAAATTTTTTTGGTGGATTCAAATTTTTGAATTTTTTTCAACGATGAAAAAGGCTCGGAAGGTACGAAAGAGAGAAGAGATGAGTTTTCATGATATCAACAGATATGCAGCAGCAAGCAGCACACCACGCGACGAACGACTACCCTCGCCACCACAGTCGTCAGTCTCAGCAGGACGAGCAAGTTCAAGTAAGTTCTCACATGCTCAAGCCGCCACCACATCCTTGCCCAAACCGATCTTGCTCCCAGACACGTTTGGCAATCAACCTGGACAAGATTTTGTAGATTATATGAGTGGCAGCCACTTTGGTAACGCATGTGCCCTGTCAGGCTACACCCATGAACAATGTTTGCGCCTGTTGCCGGCGCGTCTGGTTGGCGTGCCACACGAGATGTTGACGGACATCGTCGCCAACTCGCCCAACATCACCTATCGCGAGGCAGTCGAAGCGCTGCGAGCGAGACTGGAACCTCCGCAACTGGCCCTTATGCACGAGGCGACGCTCCGACAGAGAGTGAAGTTGGCCACTGAAACCCAGTGTGCGTTCGCGCAGGAGCTGCGACGTCTGGCACGCCAGGCTTATCCCGGGCAGAGTGGGCGGCTCCTGGACTCAATGCTGCTCCAGTTGTTCATCGACGGCCAGGCAACGAAAGACCTGCGTCTGGCACTTGCATCTCCACGACCTACGTCGTTGGATGCAGCCGTCCAAAAGGCGATTGAGGTGGGTGCCATCCGCGCCCGCGAACAATCCCGATCGGGATACGCTCAGCCGGTGTTTGCAACAGCTCCGCAACACCAACAACAGTCGACTCCCGCGCCCGGTCGACCCAGGCACTCGGAGTACAGCCCCATCCGGCCGCGCGTTGCCACGGAGAACCAAAATGGCGACCAGGAATGCACGGAACGTGATCACTTGGCCGGCATCCTTGAAAATTTTGATTCTCGTCTCTCCGCACTGGAGAGAGCTGTCTATGTCGGTGTCACGAATGGTTTTGTCAGCCAACAGCAAGGACAGCTGCGGGGTGGCCGTGGTCGTGGCCGTTTCGGACGCGGAGGTTTGCGAGGAGCCATGCAGCCCGACCGCGCGGGCTATGGCTGCGGAGAAGTTGGCCACTTCCTCGCTTATTGTCCTCATATGAACCACCCAGGCATGGTTGTGCAGGAGGGTGTCAAACAGTGACTGAGGTCTTCTTCTCCATCTATAGCGGTTCTCGTCAAACGAAAGTGTCGGCGGAACATGTCCAGCATACACTCTGGTGGCTCAGTACACAGTCGGCCTTGAGAATAACGACCCCCGATGGTGTGTGAGAATAGTGTCAGAATGCGTGAGTTTTCGCTATTTCACGGTGAGGTTGAAAGGGTGAAGTTTAATGGTCACTAGGTCTAGAGATTGTGTCGGTATTCACGAGTTGTTGTTTACCCGAGGTCGTTATTCACGAGTTGTTGCTTCCCGAGGTCGTTATTCACGAGTTGTTGTTTACCCGAGGTCGGTATTCACGAGTTGTTGTTTACCCGAGGTCGTTATTCACGAGTTGTTGTTTACCCGAGGTCGGTATTCACGAGTTGTTGTTTACCCGAGGTCGTTATTCACGAGTTGTTGTTTACCCGAGGTCGTTATTCACAGATTTGACTGTAGTTAGTTGGAAATGGTATTTTATACCCCCCCCCCCACGCGTTCTGCTACCTGATAAATCCAGCTAACCACCAATATGAACTACAAAGGTGCCCTCTCACCTCTCTTCGTTATCGTCCCGAATGCTGTCTCACAGAGACAAGCGGTAGCATTTTCAACAGAGCTCTTCACGTCCGCAGTAATATGATAATGATGTGATATCTGTAGACAAGGCCGAATGTTTCGTCTTCTGCGTTCTCCTGGCCTGCAAAAACTAGCTGCGATTTCACTGTCTGCATGGGTGTGCACACCTACGACACTAGTCCATGGGTGTTTTCACTTCGAGAGTTTCACAACAACAAAACCCACGTTTGCCAGAATTCCTAGTCCACGTTGCCTGGCTTCCTTGCTACCCTCACTCCATGATGCAGATCGACGGCATTCCATGCCAATTCCAGGATCATGTGACTGAACAAGGGCAACCTCACGAGTCGCGCACGATCCGCAAAATAATAATGTTTTACGACCTGGGTAAGGTCAACTGGGAGAGTGCTGCACCTGTTTTAGTTCTCAAAACACAGTAATGGTGTACGGCTCACACATGTCCTCATCTCATACTAAAACATTCCATCGCTTACACAAAAGTCTGGCAAGTGAAAATTCTAGCTCCCCTAACAGGACAGTACACTAAAAAAACCATTGTGTCCGTTCCCCGAACGGGAAAGAACACTGCCTGTTCCAAACCCCGGGCCAATGACAGCACTACTAGATGAGTATACATGCACATGTGTGCTAACAGCAGTACACCAGGGGATTTTAGTTGCAATCGATGGAACATTACCTGTGTCCGGCGTGTAAAACACATGATCGTTAGTTGATCGTGTTGTCATGTCCACAGCAGGCGTGTCGCCTTGCGATGCAGCTGTTGTTGTTGCTCCTATGCCTACGTCAGAGAGGGTCGGTTGTTGTTGTGTTGGTGTAGGCAGCATAGTGGAGGGGTACGATGTCGCCACCATGCTCACGGCACTAAACACAGCCGTGTTATTCGGAGCGCTTGTGTTCTGATTCGCCGTGTAAGTGCCTCCAGCCTGTGTAGGATCAATTTTAGCATTATCTGCGATAGGTAAAATATACAAAAATGAGGAGTGCAGACATATTTTCGAAGGATTTTGGAGCCATCATCTTCCCAAACGGTACACAGGAAATGAATAAGTTAACCAGTGAAAGAAGTCATGTGAAGTGCACACACACACACACACACACACACACACACACACACACACACACACACACACACACACACACACACACACACACACACACACACACACAGCACCCAGTCAGTCTCCAATCTGCGCAGTCATGTTCTTTAAAATTGTTTCATGCACACAGGGAAATCATTGATAGCAGCCATTCTCTTCCTAAGACTCGAAAGCCTCAGTTTTGAGGCAGAATCCAACTCAGTCAGATTTAAACATGTCCAAATCATGTAACTATTTTTTTGCTTTTAACCATGCAGAGGCTATATTTGGGTGGAAATGGACACTACTGAGTGCATAAAACTTACCAGCAAAACAACCCAGGATCTGCCTAGAAATGACCTACGTTATATTCCAGAGTATAATCTGCACTTTACACACCAATAATTCACCCAAAAAGTCTCCGAGGCTTTTATACTACGATGGTCAAATTAACGATGATAAAACAGGTAGGATGTCTGTATTTCGTGACCTAAAACCTGGGTGCGGCTTAAACTCCAGTGCAGCTTATGCTCCAGTGCAGCTTATGCTCCACAGCTTATACTCCAGTGTAGCTTATACTCCAGTGTAGCTTATACTCCACAGCTTATACTCCAGTGTAGCTTATACTCCAGTGCAGCTTATGCTCCGGTGCAGCTTATACTCCGGAAAATACGGTACATACATATATGCATAGGAACATGACAAAGCAAACCAAAGACCGGATCTGCATGGAGATCACCTGTAGTATCCCTGCCTTGCTTGATTGTAGCGTATCCCCGTGTTAGCGTATCCTCATACGTTAGCGTATCCCCGTACGTTAGCGTATGTGGTCTATTGCCTATAAAAGCTGCTGCGCATTTCTGTTTCCACATATTAATTTTCATTACATAATAATCCAGGTGTGTACCTGAGGAAGAATAAAAAGTTAATTAGAGTTAAGCACCGTGCCTCCACTCGGCTACCTATAACATTGGTGGCAGCGGTGGTTAAAGTTAACTTTGTCAGATTCGACCCCACCTGTTTTACATTGGTAGCAATGGCGCTACAAAATTGGTGGCGCACATAGCATAGCATTGTGGCAGTAAGAAGACTCTACCTACCGACCGTCCTTCAAGATGCGTGACCCGCGCCAACGGCTGCGCGATTTCTGCGGACTACTTCTGGCGGTAGCATTCTCCTTCGGACTTCTTATTGTTGATGTGGAGAAGCAAGACTTGAATGCTTTGTGGATCGACCTGGACTCGTGTGTTGTTGATGAGAAGAAAGTTTTCGAGGTTGTGTTTGGTGGACTTACGAGAAAGACGACGTGTGCTGTGTCCGTGTCAACATCGGGCGACAGTCTGTTTCCTGGTAGTAATGATACAAGCGCTAGCACGGCCTGCAACTCGACGCCCAGTGAGCGGTGAATTATTTTCTAGTTACCGTATGTCCGCACCTTTAAAGCCATGGAGTTATATTCGATTATAAAGCCAGTCTCAGTTATAAAACCATGGGCTTCACAAATGAAATGACATTTGACGTATGTTTTGTAAAAATGAAGGAATAAGTACTATGCTAACAAACTTACAGCCCAGGAGGGAGGGTGAACAGGTGGATTTAGATCGAATTTCTGCGTGGACTTTTGACTTTTATGGCATGGCGTAGAGGGTGAGTCATTTTGCAGCTAAAATAGCTAGGAAAGCAGCGGTGTTTCGAATATAAGGCCATGGCTTTAAAGGCGCTGACATACGGTACGTACGACCAGCATGCCCCTGCCTGCTGCACCAGCCGCCGTTCCTCCTACGGCTGCCCGCCACGTCCATTAATAGCCAGAAATGATGACAGACAGCGTCTCTTCCGATCAAGCTCCATGCCCACCGTAAGCTAATTCCCTATATGGCATTTTCTTTCCTGTCTTCCTTCAGTCTTCCTATTCTCTTTAGTCTTCCTTTATGCGAGTGTGTGAATCCAGTTTAGTTTGGTAGGCGTCTGATCATGGTGAGCCACGGTTTACCTAACTAACCTGGTGAGGGAAGTGTGTGAGAATCCCCTTTTACACTCCAGGTGTGTACCGGAGTAAGTTCCCACGATGAAGTGCATTTTTTTAAACTGAATTTCCTGGCAGTTTGAGCCAGCGATGTGCAGCAATTTGGCCTGTCATTCACGTCCTGTTTGGAGGACAATTCTTTTCCTTTTGACCCCGAGAGATCGTGTGAACCTGGTGTACTTTTACTTCTATGCTATGATTTGTTATCAGTTCATTTCTTCTGCCTACTCTAAACGCTATCATTTCCGATATAATTTGCCATTTTCCGGTTGACGCTGTGTTCATAACTCTTCGCTAATTTTTGAAAATCACGAGGGCGTGATTATCTGTAGGAAGAGAGGGTGTAGTATCCCTGCCTTGCTTGATTGTAGCGTATCCCCGTGTTAGCCTATCCTCATACGTTAGCGTATCCCCGTACGTTAGCGTATGTGGTCTATTGCCTATAAAAGCTGCGGCGCATTTCTGTTTCCATATAATTATTAATTTTTATTACATAATAATCCAGGTGCACAAGAGAGAGTTTGGAAGCTTTGTTACAACTCTGAGTTTCACGTATTACTATGATCATCAGGCAATAATCCAGGTGTGTACCTGAGGAAGAATAAAAAGTTAATTATAGAGTTAAGCACCGTGCCTCCACTCGGCTACCTATTACACACCTACCTACGCATATGTAGCTGCTTTTGGTGTTGAAGCAAGTGTACCCTGCCAAACATGGTGCGAAGAGCATGCACTCATTGATATCTGTTGGACAGGGAAAGAGGAAAGAAAATGCCGTTCAGCACACAACGAATCCACGATGAGCAGATTGCCCATTTCTGCACATAGCGTACTCCCTCCGCCCAGGTGAATGAGGCCCTTATCACACATAGCGTACTCCCTCCGCCCAGGTGAATGAGGCCCTTATCACACATAGCGTACTCCCTCCACCCAGGTGAATGAGGCCCTTATCACACATAGCGTACTCCCTCCACCCACGTGAATGATGCCCTTATCACTCACAGCTGGGTCTGATCTGCTCACCTCCCGCCCGTTCAGGAGCTGTTTTTGCGCCTTGATCCTTGAGGATGACGGCATCCTTACAGATCCGGAAAGCTCAGTCCGGGCGGGTCTCACGAACCGTGAAATACATGAAGATATGGCAGATCAGATCCTTGATACCATCACTGTTTTTCTTGCTTGTGAAAGACCCTTTCCATGGCAGGCCTTGCCTTGGTGGTATTTTGCATTTTCCAGCATTTCGGTTCTGTTCAATCTATTCAATGCATGTGAAGTACAATGTCACCGTCACACGTGTGACCGCCGTGATTTGGGTGCCTGTTTTCCAGGTCTTGCATATGCTGTCATGCTGACAAGTGTATATTTTCTTTTTCAGAGCGGGAGTTCACTCCGGTCTTTTCTGGTCATGTTCGCTTATGTCCTACTGCCCTGTTTGTTGTACTGAAGGAAGTAGTCATGTGTTAGGTGATATTTAGTTAACGCCGCTTCTGTTGCCGTGTGCTGACGCGTGGAGGAGGTAGCGGGTCCCAGGCTACCTGGGATGATCTGAGAGAGGGCAGGATTCACGACAGGGTGAAAAACCCAGATCACGCAAAGCTTAGACCCGCAAACGTTCACTCCGAAAATACTGGGCCATTCGGTAACAAGGCGGCCGCACAATCATACAACTTGATGACCCGGCCAGTCCGATTCCTGCCAGGTGTACATTGGGTCATGCACGCCGGTGAATTCTGTTTCCTTTTGATCTTCACAGAGCATTGTTGTAAACTTTTAAAAGTGACTTCCACTTGAAACTGGTACCCGAGTGCAACATTTTACTATCACCAAACCGTCGGTGTTGCGTACCTTGAACCTCGCTGAAGAAGGAAGCTGGTAGAAATGTCAAGGATAAGGGCGTTTTGAAACGGTTGAAGTAAACTTGGAGAGGTGTCGACAAAGGTAGTGACAAAGGCAGTGCAAGGCACATTGTGAGCCTTGTCTCTTACCAAACTGAGGACACCTTGTTGTGACGCTGCGCACCTGCAGGATTCCACACAGAGCATCAACACTTTCAACGCTTACCTTTCCCACAAATGAAGCCGTCTGCTGTTGAGTCAGCGTCGATTTTCTGGGTGTTAATGTTGTATATCCCTATTTTCGGCTGTTCAGTATTCCTGAGCTTAAGCCAGATATGCTGTATTCGCACTCCAAGAAATTCGTCTCTTGAATCCTGCTCGCAGAAGAAACCAACAACAACAACAGCACATCACTGTGACTGTGTACTGCCGGCGATTCTACTTTCACACACTGCTGCGGCTCTAAACGGCGAACACATCTTGCAGAGCTGCAACTCACACCCGGCGGAGCAGTGCCAAGATGACGAATGGAATGCTACATGTGCAAGCTAAGGTATATGCATGGTACGTAGGGTGTGCAGGCAAAAAGGACTGGGAGAAACAGAGGGAGACACACAGGTAATCCCACTGTGATTTCACAGCATTTCTGTCGGCACCATGTACTGAAAACCCCTAACCTTCAAAAAGAGTGTTTCGGTATTATCAGTACATCCTTTTCATACATACTTCGAAGTAAACTGACTTCAATAGGCATGCACACACAGACACTTGCACACATATGCACACACAGACACTTGCACACATATGCACACACAGACACTTGCACACATAGGACATGTCCTATTGACATGTCCAAAGCATTCGACAATTTGTGACACAGCCGGCTAATCCTGGATTTGTTTGAACTTGGTGTATCCGGAGTTGCACTCAGATCGCTCCAGAACTATCTGAGTGAGCGTCAGCAGGGTGTAAAAATTGGCTCCCACCCTGATCCATAGAGGGCGGGGGCGTTCCTACGGAAAACTCAGCCTCCAGCTGAGTCTCACATGAACTGTGATTTTTTTTGTGGTCGCCGTGGCAATTCCTGCACCGGCGGTGCACCTCAAGGTTCACCGTGCTAGGGCCTATACTATTCCATGTGTACACTCGTGAGGCCCCATGCGTAACGGAGCCTGCTGTGTCTTTGCAGTTTGCGGAGGACATTTGCGGCCTGTTTAGCTGAAAAGTCCTCGGCTGCTGAAGTCTCTCGTGTGCTATCTGCCTGGGCTATGACCTTAGCGGATTGGCTTGCTGACAGAGGATTGAATCTTAATGTCTCACAGTTGCAAGTTCTTGCCACTGTTGGAGCTAGGGGCGACCCATCTCATCTCAGAGTATTCTGCCATGGCGCACAGCTGCCCAGTGTCACCGAGACTAGGTACCTTGGTATTACTCTTGAAGTCAAGATGGACTGGAAGTTACAGGTTGACCGCCTAGCCAAGGTGTCCAGGAAAATCGCCTGTCTTTGGAGAGCAAGACGTGGTCTCACACTGCACAGCAGAATTGCCTATTTCCGCAATATCATTCTACTGCCTGACCTTCTCTACGGCTCCAAATTCTACAACACAGCCCTGACCCACACCCAGCTTGATTGTCTGCAAGTTGCGCCACTGAGAACCGAGGCGCAAGGGCAGTCTTTGGACGGCGGCACTTTGAAGCAGCACATGACCAGCCAGAACGCATGTCGGTCTACCGAATCCGCGAGTTGCATGTTCAGAAGGTCTTGTCACTCGTGTGGTGCTGCCTTCATGGACATACTGTAAAATGTACAGAATGGCAATAGTGAAAAAGGAGGACAACATGTTACGAGTTATGACTAACTGTCCACCAACGTCCAATAGTCCAATAATCTTACTAGCTTCGTCATCATCCAGTAACTTTCGGCATTCTTTGTTGCTGTGATGCGTAGCTCATGCACTTCTTCGTTGCGCTTTCCTTCCCCTCTTGGACCTTTCCGAACCTGAGCCTTCCAAGTTGGATTATTATTATTATTTATTCACAATCACGTGGCACTAGCCAATGAAATGGTGATGTGGGCGATAGCCAGCCATGGCGGTAATAGAGCTAGAGGGGAGAAAGAAAAAGAATGAAAGGGGAACTGAAAAGTAAGAGAAGCGCGGGGAGCTAGGGCAGGGCTGGATATCAACTAGTATGTTGCATTCCGCAGTAGCTGTGTGAATGTATTGTAACATTGGCAGGATTTTAGATTGTGTGGATGGTTGTTGGTTTGCGCCTTGGACAAGTGTTGGAGCTAGGTGTCAGGTCGCCGAATGTCTCAGTATTCCTTGTCAGTTTTGTGCTATTTTGCCGCACTCGCTGACTGTATAAGATCTGGTTACGTTGGTGGACAGTTAGTCATAACTCGTAACATGTTGTCCTCCTTTTTTCACCATAATTTAATTGGCTCACCATCCGAGTTAAAATGGCAATAGTGTCGTGAAATACCGTAGGGATATGTTCATGTTCAAATTATCAGGATTCCACCTGTACTCTGAAGTAAAATTAGAGCACAGGTATATTTCCCTAGGCATGATGCGGGTACAGTAACACTAACCTGGTAGCATTTCTTCCCTTTCAAAAAATTATCAACTAGATCTTGCCGGAAAATTGGTAAATTCTGCTTATTCAAGCAATGTGTACGGGCCGCCAAAAGGTCTATCCGCGGATAGAAATTGATAGTGAAGTTGAACCCGTTGCAGAGAAGCGCCTTTGTAACATTCCGTTGATCTGTGGAAGAGAAACACAGGCCAACAGATGACGTGTTCCCGCTGTCTTAGTCGGGAAACAGTTCCACTTGTTTAGTGTTGCCTGAGTCAGAGGCTGACAACTTCCTCACTAGAATGGTTGGTGTTTACTTGCTATGACTCTGAGGGTAAATGCACTCAGCGGCGGCTTGCAGAGCGTGAGGCCAGTCTATGGCAGCATCAGTTTACCTCCCCCCCCCCCCCCCACCCCATGACCCACCCACCCACACACAAACACGCCATTTACCACACACACGCCCTAATTTGTCGTCCGCTTCTGCTATCATGGCTTCATGTCCATTTTTGTTGGTTTCTTGGTGCTGCTGGTGGCACGCATTTTCCAACTGACTTGCATCATTAGTAAAGTCATGCTTAGGACATCATGTAACAAGGCTAAACAGCCTGCCTGTACATCAAAACTTATCATAGTACTGCTGTGTATGGTGCTCGTACGGCTATTCAGGGGCAGATCCAGAGATCTCTACATGTTCCAGCTTAGCCCAAACCAAATAAGTTAGTTGATACATGTACCCGTAACATGCCTATGGTTTCCAGTAGTTCATTTGCTAAATTTAGGGGTTCCATGGAACCCCGGAACCCCCCGCCCCTGGATCCGCCTCTGGCTTTTGCATGATACACCATGCGAGCCTTGAGCCGCCACAGCAAATGTGGCACCTGAGACAGGCCAAGAGTTTCCCGATTGACTGTGACGGGTCATAGTGTCATAGCGTGGCTACAGAGCCGATGATCCCTCGGCTTCCAAGCAGGTCATGAACCTGCTAAGTGTTCATCTCGGTCACAGACCAATCCACTGTGTTCGGCTGAAGAAACTATCGTAGCATGACCATGTCAAGCAAGGATGACCAACCAATGATCATCGCTATCACCTTAGTACTTGTCGCAGAGATCCCTATTGCAGTGTAAGCTGAGAGGCATGAGTGGTGATGGCTGGCTCTGCAGCATGCACAAATAGACTAAGGCACTAGATACTGGTAGCTCTTCAGGGGCGTCGAACGCGGTACGGTCACTACGGTATTGACCGTACAAATGTTCTGCCCCAGATACCCCGTGAATCAATCAAATACACTGATCTGGGCTCTAAATTTCCAAAATTTTCGGCTCAGCAACCCTCGCCCACAAACGAGAGAGCTTGGAAGCTCAGGGCCCTACGCTATACTTTTTCGCCTTGATGACCTAGACAAAAAAAGCATACTGATGTTATAAATTCATATAATTTTTTTTCTTTTTTTTGAAAGACATAACCTGGGATTCGAACCCGCACTATCGCCGTGCATGCATCCCCCGATACACTTCGCATACAAACTAATTCTTCCAAGTTGCTTCACGTTATGATCTTGCATTTGAAAGCCCTATTTGAATATGCATTGTGGCCAGCCGTCTTTGATAGCACGGTACGGTACGGAACAGGTACGGGACAGGTACGGTCGAGGGTAATACGACACCGTCTACCGCCTTGATGACCTAGGCAAAAAAAGCATAGAGAGTTATAAATTTTTCAATTCTCCTTCTTTTTTTAGCATAACCTGGGATTAGAACCCGCACTATCGCCCTACATGCATTCCCCCATACACTTCGCATTCATACTCATTCTTCCAAGTTGCTTCACGTTATGATCTTGCGTTTGAAAGCCCTATTTGACTATTGCGGCCAGCTGTATGTGGCCAGCTGTGTTTGATGGTACGGCACGGTACGGGACAGATACGGGATAGCGCCAAGCATGACACAAACACACAAACACACAAACACCAAATTAAAGCTGTGTGGACCCTGGCTAGCGCCAGACGTTACTAAAGTAACGTCTTCTGCATAGCTACGGGAATAAACTGTACTTCAGATGGCTGACCGTACCACACTAAAATACCGTCCGAAGCCCCTGCTCTCAGACAACACTGACCTCTCAATAATGAGTACTGTAGAAGCCATTATTCTAACGAGGCACACATATAACGATTTCCCAAAATTGACTGGTTTACGTGTACCAAAGGTAACGATTCTCACTCATTCTCAACGCTCAATAGGACAGTATATGTATCGATTTCTGTATAACGATTTATATTTTAATGACAGATTTCTCCTCGTTAACTCGTTAGAATTAGCACTTCGTTATTATGGCTCTTACAGTACATTGCGCTTGTTCGGGTATTGTGAATAATGAATAATTTTACTACTGTGATCATAGATAGAGCAGTGCCATGAACTACGTAGTAGCAGAACCGTGACTTTCCACAATGTGGAGCCAGATCATCGAGTAGTCATCACTTTTCTTATCCAAGTGGCGTAGCTTTCTTTACTGCTCCGCCGACCAACCTCGGAAACGCTGGCCACGTTTCGTGACAACGGTAACCAACACGGATCACGTGTCGGTGCCTCCATTTCATATCTTCCGGGTGCCGACCTCCGCACCACTCCCAAGCTATAATATCTGGCTCTTGATGAAACAAAACTAAGCTCAGTTGGAAACCTTACCTACACATGTGTAGCTGCCCCTGGTGTTCTCACAGCGAAATCCCACAGAGCAAGGTGTTGAGATATCGCACTCGTTTATTTCTGTCATGAACGAAAAGGAAAAGAAGATGGATATCAACAGGCCATGTACGCAGTGCACAGCGGCCATAGACTAAGAGTCATTACCCGGCTTCAGCTATGCTAACAATGCCATGACATCATGAGTATTCACGATGCTAACAATGCCATGACATCATGGGTATTCACGATGCTAACAATGCCATGACATCATGCCGATGCTAACAATGCCATGACATTCTAACAATGCCATGACATCATGGATAGTTACTAGGTCGTAATATTTTCGATTTTAACAATACCATGACGTGTATAATTAAAATTCGAATGCATTTCCATTACACGTACTTCAAGTACTTTATTCGTGTTACCGTGATGTCGTGTTACCGTGATGTCGTGTTACCGGGATGTCGTGTTACCGTGATGTCGTGTTACCGTGATGTCGTGTTACCGTGACGTCGTGTTACCGTGACGTCGTGTTACCGTGATGTCGTGTTACCGTGATGTCGACATCATGTCGTGTTACCGTGATGTCGTGTTACCGTGATGTCGTGTTACCGTGATGTCTTAGTCATGCCCCAATTTTCCCATGTTCTTTCATCTGAACGGGCCCAGGCAATCTGAGCACGTCAAGCACGGCTGCTGGAAACGAAGAAGAAAAAGTATCACGAGGTAACTAAACTCAGCTCATCAGGGCATAGTGAGTCAAGCTGACAAGCGATGGTGCAGGCTAACACAGCACTAGATCCGTCGTCTCAGATACCAGCTACAGCTTACAGGACTTTCATTCAGGAACATGTAGTACATCAGGCGTGCTTCCTTCGCAAACTAGTTTCGCAAAGCCCGTGTGCAAAGCAAACGTTACGGTACGGAAGCTCAAACTATTTTTTGATGTGCTACTTTTGTAGTTTCCGTGACGCCAGGACCGGGTAGCTCGATGTCGGAGATATTGTGACCAAGCTTGAGTCATCATACGTACCGTATTTTCCGAAGTATAAGCCGCATTGAACACTCAAACTTCACCCAAAAGGGGGGGGGGGGGGACGTGCGGCTCATGCTCCGATGATCAAACTAACGGTGATAAATAGGATAGATGTCTGTATTTCGTGGCAAACGGGGGGGGGGGGGTATAGCGGGTACACATACCCTTCTTGGCAGTAACCATGCATTGATGGCCAACAATTTGGTGCGGTGATGCCCTGACCAACCGGACCGGTTCCGGCGCCGCGCCTGCACATGGACACGGTCGTCCGTACACGGTACCATGGTACTTTGTGTTTCCTGAAGACACTAACAAAGTAGAGATCTGTCTGTTGTTCACGCTTGCCAGTGTTCCTGCACACACGTGCTACGCTCTCTGTCCTAAAATTCGTTTTTGACTGCCAGAGTTGAAAACTTCTTTTTAAAGGTGGGTTCACCGATGATACGCCAAATCGGCGCCGGGAAGCACCGGCGGTGAGCCAGCTCCCGGTCCGTCCCACATATGGTTCAAGTATTGCTGTACTGTACCAAATCTACTACAAAGTAGTACAGAAGGTGCCAAAATACTACGACATGATTGCCAATTGGAGCTTGAATTCTATGTTTCTCCAGTAGTTCATGGGACAGATAAGGTCTTTCGGCGATGGCCACTTGGTGCTACCTTTCGCTGCAGATCATGAAACTACTTCTACACATTTTATTGCAGTCTAGTATGCGATGGTGGTGAAATTATGCATGCAAAGTTTGCAAACGTTGATGAAGTCATAAAAACTTGCGAAGGTATCCTTCGCATTTTGCATTTTTTTCAATTGCATAATGTCTATTTGCCACCTTGAAGCGACTACAAGAATGGCGAAAGGACCTCATCTTTTGCTTCAATTTAGGAAATTTTAGGACGAGTCTTGGTTTGAAATTTTGACGAAGTCTGGGTCCCGGCACTGGCGTGAACGGTTCACATACCACTTTTGGTCAAAATTGTAGATGATTGGTGCCGGCGCAGATTGCAAGAGTTGGGCACTGCCCAGCTTTGCCGACGATCGCTTGCGATGATTCACCGTATGATTTCGACAAGCATTGGACTGGTTCACATAATCACAATGCGCTGGGAGAGGTTGCAAGAGGCCCACCACCGGAGCCTCCTGGCACGCACCGGCGATACGTGAACCAACCGTAAATGTTACCCCCCCCCCCCCCACACACACACCACCCCCACCCCCTGCCCCCCCCCCCACCCCCCCCCCACCCCCAGTGGAATTCCAAAGCAGCAGACATCATGACTTTCCTCAGTGACAGAAACTTACCTCTCCCACAAACATAGCCATCTGCTGTTGTAGTTTTTTGGTTGGCAGGTGTGCCAACTACCCGAGTTTCGAGATTGTACCTAGCAAAGCTCTTGTTACTGGAATCCTTTAGCCAGATCATCTTTACTTGCTCAAGAAGAATTTCTTGTATTGCATCCTAGATGCAGAAGAGAAAACTCAGAAAAGTCATTGCCAATAACCAAACCTGTCATGTTGATGCTACATTCAACTTCGCTATTAACGACTGCGGATATAACGACAATTCGCGAATAACCACAGAATTTCCACGCCCAGAACAAAGTCCCATCTAACTGTAACACATAATCATAATGAGACTTCGGGTATAAGAACACTTCGCGAATAAGGACTTTTCTGATGCCCAGCCGAGTGTCGTTATAGGCAAAGTTGACTGTATTTATCATTTCAACCTTGGTACAATAATTGTCATATTGCCAATATGGCTACAGAATCATACACAGACACTGTCCTAAATAGGCATGCCCCGTCCAGGGGTAAAGTCTGTGAAAGGCATATTGACAGATATTTCCAGTCTATGTGTGTACAATGGGTATAGCGCTCCTCGACATTCGTCTCGTGAAGCACTCTACGTAGGCTGCTCTAGAGCTGCTGCATTACGCATCGCTCGCTACTTTTCGTAGTTAGAGCACTCTGGCGCTAGAGCAACGAGCTATCTTAATGTCTGTGGTGCCTCCTTTGCACCATCGTGGGTAGCTCGGCTTACTTAAATCTCGTAGCTGTACTGATGAGGCATATATGGCCGAAACAGCTTGTTGTCTACAGCATTGGCTACAATCATGATTGTATATTACTATGTTCAGACTCAGCAGCACACTAGCGAGCATACACGCATCTCAAGTTTAAAACAAAACGAACAGCAACCAATACACCCACACACAGAGATACACGTGTGCACGCACACACCTCAGACCTCAGACATGCCCATCGCGGAAGCGATGATAGCGAACAGCTATGTTAGACATAGCAACTTGTGCTGGGATTACACCATTCAACAGCTTGCAAGGCTGATGAATTGACCGCCACTATTTTTAGCCTGGTATCCACCACACAGCTGTTCACACACACACACACACACACACACACACACACACACACACACACACACACACACACACACACACACACACACACACACACACACACACACACGCACGCACGCACACACACACACACACACACACACACACGCACGCACCAGCACATAAAGCCGCACTCTCACGGTACATGCACAAAGGGGGATGTTAGCTAGTTGTCCTTGCATGCACAAAGGGGGATGTTAGCTAGCTGTCCTTGCATGCACAAAGGGGGATGTTAGCAAGCTGTCCTTGCATGCACCAGCGCATCAGAGTTACCGCTCAGACAACTAACCCTGAAGCATGTTTTCATGTCGAGAAAGTAGTCCAATCTGAATGGCAGTAGTTTCTGACGCCTGCATTCTTGCCGCGCATCCAGAGCCAATATCTGTGTGCGACGATTGACAGTGAGAATGTACCCGGCACACTCGAACCTAGCATCTGAGGAGAAGAAAAAGAGTGAATTAGGAGAGATCTCCATCAAACTGGCACACGGTTGAACTCTGCTACAGCGCCATCAAATAAACCCAGTGGTCACTATGAATCAAGGGAGACCAGCAGTATCACCTTCGCAAACTGTCTTTGCATTGTGCCAGCATGCATGCAACACGCAGGTGCGATTGCTGTGTCCTGCACTTAAGTGACCATGTGCACCATGGATGCAGTGAATGGGATTTTCAGTCTTTGACCGGTGAGCTGGTGAGCTGATTGTGGAATATTGCATGCTTGTCAATAGTGCATGCTTGTTAGATATTGCATGCTTGTTAGAGATTGCATGAATAAGAGTATTGTCACGAACTAATGGTTCGCACCAAGCATGCATACAAGCAATTGATTATACAGTCTTCTTTCCTCTTTCTATCGTGTCTTCTGAAGTTTTTTACTTACCTTTTGCGCCATGGTACGCCTACGACGTTCCCATGGTCTTCACGTACGACATACGGTTTTCTAGCCTTTTTTCCTGGAGCTTGTCTCCTCGTGTCGTTTCTGTTTCATTGGTTTTGGTTTTACGTTGTCTAATGATAAGCAACAGTTTGAGTTTGAGTCTAAGAGAACCCAAGATGCGCTCGCGTTGAGCCAAAGCAGCCTTACAAGATAACCTTTTGTAAATTGGTCCTTCGAGCCGGATAGCCGGATTCGAACCAGAGAAGACTAGAGATGGCAGATAGTATTGGTCCGCAGCAGAAGATCGCCAAGGCTAAGGCGAAGACGGAATATACTAATGTCCGCCGTGGGTTACTGGTGTCCATCGTATCGGAAACCGTGAGTGTCGAGGAGATTAAATATGGGCTACTAATGCTCGAGAACAGGATGAACTCCGTGATGGAGGTTGTTTCAGAGCTGGCAGATATATTTTGCAAGAATCCTACTTATTTAGAGAGTTTGGCAAAGGAGACTGCAGAATTAGAGGTGTCGTACACTGAGACGGTGACGCAGGCCAGCACTACTTTAGCAAATGTCAGCATGAGTAGATACAACAGTGCACACACAAGCGAAATCACGGGGTTGCGATACACCCGTCACCCAGAGAGAGTTCAGGCATATTTGGAATCCATTTCAGCTACAGACAAAATACGAACTGCACAGGAGCAGCTCCAGTGGAGTAGCAGTAGCATGCAAGAATTAGATACATCCAGCACGAGTCGTAGTGTACGGGCCAGTGGCCAGAGTGAACCCAGTACTAGTGGTAGTACCGTACACATTCCCGCATCGGATGCTAACACCGCAGCTACGGAGCTTGTGTTTGTAGGCCAGGATAGTGCATGCACGAATGTAGTCATGTCCATGCCTGATGTATCTGGTATCCCGTCAGCAGCTACAGGGGCCACAGGGCCAGCAGCGCGCGACCTCGACCGGAACAACGTCCCAGCAGAGCAGCGCAAGCAGCAACAACCAGGTGCCGGTGTTGGCGTGAGTACAGATTTGCGTCTGGCTGTGAGCAGTAGTGACACCGGTACCAACCCTCGACAGTCGTCAGTCTCGTCACCGTACGACGTCGGACGTCAACAGATCACGCAGAACACGACGAGCACGAGTACACCAGTCTCGAGTGCTGGTTACACCAACACAACACGAACAAACGACGATCGCACATTCACGATCACAGCTGCAACACCAACGCTGCAATACGGAACAACAACTACACCAACACAACAACACAGCCTCAGTTCAGCTCGTACACTAACTGCGAGTGGTACGTCGTCGAGAGTAAACACGACGAAATTTGCTCAGGGTTTCGGCACCGCGACTGACCCAGCGTCCGCTTATGGTGGTCCAGCAGCATCAGCATCAGCCTCTTTTGGAGCACATTCCCACCTGGCCCCGGCCTCTGCGAGTACGATCCCCTACGGTAGCCGCTTGCCGCTCGACGTACTCGGAGTGCCACAATTACAAGCGGCCCAGAGTCAAACCCCGCAATGGACGCAGCCAGATACGGCAGCTAGCCAGTGGCCGCCGCCGTGTAGTACAACGCCTAATTTAGCTGGCTCGACACAGTGGTCACCAGTTCCACCTGCAGCAGTGTCGTCCAACAACGCCGCTTTTGGGGTACAGAGTCTACAGACGCAGTACAATGTCAGCGGTTTGTACCCATCACCAGCTCTACCTCCACCAGTCAACGCCGTTTTTGGTGGATCGCCTGCGCAGAATGGAAGTGCACTGTACCCAGGCCAACAAGCAGCATCCAATTATGGCCCTTATGGCGGAACCCCAAATGGGTATGGATTGACTGGACCAGTACCAGGATTCACACCTGGTCCTTCGCATGCACCGCAAGGCAATCCACCATCAGACGTTTACCGTCATTTAAGAAAGATCAAGATACCAACCTTTGACGGCGACAAAAAGCTATACGACACATGGCGTACGTCTTTCAACGTCTGCGTCGATCAACAGCCTCTGTCACCGGAGCTGAAGCTGTTGCAGCTCAGGCAATATCTGTCCGGTCCACCGTTGAAGACTGTCGAGACGTATGGTTACTCGGCAGCGGCCTACGGGGCAGCACTCCAGCGACTTGACCAAAAGTACGGAGGTGAGAAGCGCAAAACAGCCGTCCACATGTCCGCGCTCCAGGACATGCCAGCAATCCGTGAGCGTGGCACAGCCAAACAGCTTGAGCGTTTCGCAGATCTTGTGCAAGTCGCCAAGATTAACTTGATTGATGCTGGCCGTCAGAATGAGCTGTCGTACGGTACGTTCTGCACTCAGCTGCAGCAGAAGTTGAGCCAAGATCTGTTAACGGCGTACCACCGGTGGCGTTGCGATAACAATATTGTCGAGTCGGTCGACTCGCTATTGCAGTGGTTAGTACGGGAAGCAGATTTCCGCACGGAAGCAGAGGAGACCCTGCAGAGTGTCTCGCATAGCGTAGCAGCCACACGTCTGATGAGCAAGCCTGCCAAATCAGACATCTCCACAGCAGCAGCTCTTACCGTCACCTCATCGAGCGTAGAATGTGTGTTTTGCGGCAGCGGACACGAGTCCTCGCAATGTTCGTCCATCACAGACATCAAGCGCCGCAAGGAGCTGATACGCAAGACTGGTCGTTGCTTCATCTGCCTGAAGAAGAACCACATGGCTCGCGACTGCAAGTCCAGGCTGAGATGTAGCAAATGTGAGCATCGACATCATACGTCCATTTGCGAACCCAAGTCGTCAGAGCAGCCTGGGACTGGCGCGAAGACATCATCTCCGCCATCTAGACAAGGCGGAAGTGGAAAATGGTCGAAGCCAGTGTTTTCGTCAACAACCGCAGCTACTGTCAGCGACAGCGGAGCTGTATTTCTACAAACTGCACAGACCTCGGTGGTCTCGCCTCAACGTCCAGATCGAAAAGTGCCTGTACGAGTAATGCTAGACGGTGGGAGCCAACGCTCGTACGCTACATCATCGGTACTGACTCAGCTGGATGTGCGCCGCTCCGGTCAAGAACGTGTAGAGATAAACGCGTTTGGCGGCGAACAGCCAAGCCCAAGCACACTCCGGGACGTGGTCGAACTGGACATTCAGTGCGTCGATGGCAACCGGATTCGTGTCAACTGCATCGTCGTGCCATCAGTCTGTGCTCCCGTGCAAAATCAGCACACCGCAGATGTAGTCACAGCTTACGAGTCTCTACAGAATCTCAGTCTCGCCGACAACTGTGGCGGCTCAGCCAGCATCGACATTCTACTCGGCGCTGATGTTTATTGGCAGATCGTCACGGACGACATCGTTCGTGTAGATGATGGGCCAACTGCTCTCGATACTCGCCTCGGGTGAGTTCTGTCCGGACCAACAGGCAGGTGTAATTCAGGCATCATCTCCACTAACGTCGCAACCGTTCACGCTTGCGATGTCGAACCATCTACCGTGCAAGATCCGGACAGCGCTTTGGTCCAGCTACTCCAGAAGTTCTGGCAGCTTGAATCCATCGGCATCTTGCCTAATGAACCGGACACTCTGCAGCTGTTCCAACAGACCATCCGCTACGATGGGCAGAGGTACACGGTCAGGTTGCCATGGAGGGAGGATCATCGCGCGCTTCCAGACAATTACAGTCTGTCCGAGAAACGGCTGCAGTCAACACTCAAGAAACTGCAGAAGTCACCAGAAATTCTGAAGGAATACAATGCAATAATTCAAGAGCAACTTCAGAAGGGCATCATCGAGGAGGTGCCAACTACAGAGCACGACGTGGTGGGCGAAGTACATTACCTGCCTCACCATCCTGTCATTCGGCAGGACAAGACCACTACGAAGGTTCGTGTGGTGTACGATGCCTCAGCCAAGGTGAAGACGCATCCGTCCCTGAACGACTGCATCCACACGGGACCACCGCTGCTCGAGCAGATCACCAGCATACTGCTCCGGTTCCGAACGCATGCGGTAGCCTTCACCGCAGACATAGAGAAGGCGTTCTTGATGGTTGGGATTGAGGCAGCCGACCGCGACGTCCTACGCTTCCTCTGGGTCGACAATCCCACAAGCGCTCAGCCGGTACTCAAGACGTACCGATTCACGCGTGTTGTCTTCGGTGTATCCGCTAGCCCATTCTTATTGAACGCTACCCTGCAACACCATCTCGCCAAGTTTGATCCCGAGTTCACTACGAAGCTGCTACAGAGTCTGTACGTGGACGATGTTGCGAGTGGCGGCAACAGCAATGCCAATGCGTTGGAATCGTTCAACCGTGCCAAGAATCACCTTGCAACAGGCGGATTCAACTTGTGCAAGTTTGTCTCCAACTCCGCTGAGTTGAATGAGATCGTCAATGGTACCGCAGCGACACCACTGTCGACTAACGGTCTGCCTACTGTCGCCGTGGATAACGACTCGTATGCCAAGACCATGTTGAATGGCTCATCCGCAGCCACCACCAAAGTCCTGGGCATTCCATGGGACAGGACATCTGACCGTCTTACGTTCAGCGTCGACGAGGTGTTCAGCACGACCAAGGTCGACTCACCAGTAACTAAGCGCCAAGTCCTATCGGCGTCAGCCAAGATGTATGACCCCCTCGGACTCCTGGCACCTATCACCATCACCCTCAAGGTATTTCACCAACAACTATGCCAGTTGAAGATGGGCTGGGATGACCCATTGGAGGGAGAGTGTCTTGGCAAGTGGCAGACGATGATACGGGAATTGAAGGCCATGCCACCGGTCTCATTGCCGCGGCACTACGCAACAGACGCGAACGGCAACATCACACGTGTCGAGCTACACGGTTTCTGTGACGCGTCCGAGAGAGCCTATGCAGCAGCCATCTACATTGTGTTCACGACGGAGGTGGGCACTTCAGTACAGCTAGTCGCGGCAAAGACTCGTGTTGCGCCGCTGAAGCAACAGACCATTCCCCGCCTCGAGTTGCTTTCAGCACTGGTATTGGCTCGCCTGATGGCATCCGTCTCATCAACTTTGGCAGATCTGAAGATTGATCAGATTCACTGCTGGTCAGACTCCCAAGTGGCACTGGCATGGATAGCTGGAGTGGAGCAAACTTGGAAGCAGTTTGTTGAGAGCCGGGTTACAGAGATCCGACGTCTCGTTCCGACGTCCTGCTGGAGCTACTGCCCAACAGCTTCGAACCCAGCTGACCTGCCGTCACGCGGAGTGAAGCCCAGTGAGCTCACTAGTACCATCTGGTACACTGGTCCGAAGTGGCTACACGAGCCACAACCCCGAGCAGAAGTCGACAGCGGCTCCGCAGCATCGCAGTGTGAAGAAGTCGAGAGAGAGCGGAAAGCACCACCTACCACGGTCATGGCAGTCGGCGCTATCCAGCAATCTGGTGCGCACCCCGGCGCCACGCTTCCGAAGAGAGATGCTGCCCGGTCAGCTGATAAAGCCAGACAGCAACTGATTAATGCCGGCTCCTTATAGAGCTGCAGCAGCAATATTCTGTGTTCGATGAGAGCATCACGTTGCACCATGCTCTGTACTCTAGTAGCATCACGCTGTTGTAGGAACGAGTCAGGTACATGTAGTACACTAATTCTAAGCTCTCATCTGGAGGGAGTGTGGAATATTGCATGCTTGTCAATAGTGCATGCTTGTTAGATATTGCATGCTTGTTAGAGATTGCATGAATAAGAGTATTGTCACGAACTAATGGTTCGCACCAAGCATGCATACAAGCAATTGATTATACAGTCTTCTTTCCTCTTTCTATCGTGTCTTCTAAAGTATTTTACTTACCTTTTGCGCCATGGTACGCCTACGACGTTCCCATGGTCTTCACGTACGACATACGGGTTTCTAGCCTTTTTTCCTGGAGCTTGTCTCCTCGTGTCGTTTCTGTTTCATTGGTTTTGGTTTTACGTTGTCTAATGATAAGCAACAGTTTGAGTTTGAGTCTAAGAGAACCCAAGATGCGCTCGCGTTGAGCCAAAGCAGCCTTACAAGATAACCTTTTGTAAACTGATCTACTCACCTCCCACCGCTTTAGGAGCTGCATCTGCGCCTTGATTCTTGAAGGGCGGTGGCGCTCCTACGGATGCGGAAAACTCGGCCTCTAGACGAGTCTATTGCGAACCGTGAATTTATATTTTAAATATGTGCACCATGTCACCATAGAAAAGAGGTTTGGGTGGACACACCCATTCCAGGCTTACAGCAAATCTGGACCACATTCCGTTATTAAACAACGTGTGGGCACTTGGCCATCATCAGGTAACTGAACAATGATCACACCTTAGTGATAAATTTCACCCCCGTTGATGCGTTATTTTATTCCGGTAATCACATTCTTTCTTCTTCTTCTTTCCTTCTCTTGCCATGGCTGGCTAGCGCACCCTCCTTTGTATTGGCTTTTGCCATTAGACGGTGAAATAAAGAAATATTAAAAGACATAAATGTGTGAATTAATTTTGTACATGGCTCACCTATACAAGTGTAGTTGGACACATCACCATGGCAAGTGAATGCAGGAGGGCAGGGCTTCTCTTTTCGCGGTATGCTCTCACAAGAGCTGGAGCAAAACTCTGTGTTCTGATCTGAGAATAAAACAGTGAGTGACAGACACACTGGTAAGTCACCACATATGAGAAACCCTATACAATCTAATGTTACTGTAAAACCGGGAACTTTCGGTGGTGTAATATTTCGGTATTTCCCAAAAATCGACGGTTCGGTAGTGCGAACATTTCAGAAAACCAATTCTCCAGATCCAAAAATGCATTTTGCACACTGTGTGGCATGGCTTTTTGAATTTTAGGTCAGGTTTTATTTTAGGTAAAAATTACCTGCACCGAAGTTACCGAAAATAATATATCTCCACCGAAATTTTCCGGTTTTACAGTACTATCAAGACCTGCTAGAATTCAGAATGTATTTCAGAACCCAACTCGAAGCAGCTCAGGCAGCAATAGTAGACACACAGGCCCTGCAGGGTACTGGTATCCTTACTGTACTGTATACTAGCATCTAAATATTATGCTAGTATCGAAGCAAATGCGTCTATCCCTACCAAGGTACATAGTAACAATGTATGTCTTCACACTTCAAGCTCTCGACTTGCAACCTAAATACGCCAATGTATAGCCGTGGCCAAAGATATCCGGCCAGTCAACCGAAAGCAAAGCCCAGGCTCATGCGGCCCCTGTGGCCCTTGCATGGGCGTTTGGACCCTGCATGATGTGATCGAAACGGACACGTGGCACTATTAGTGATTTGGGGGTTGGATTTCTTTGGCCATGACTGCTGTGTCCCCAGCACATTGATCCATGTAATAAACAAATCAATGTTCGTGTGGCCACAGAATCATATCAGTACCAGCCTCATGTAGATTCCTTTGGCCTCTTGTAGCAATGGGGCTAACATCAATGATGCTCCCGTCAGAATCCGTTGATCGACCTTTACTAGTGGAAAACAGGCTCTACTGGTTGGCAAAGGTGCAGTGTAACGGGGCTAGCAGATTCACTCCGCCGCGGTCCAAGTTGGGAGCGTCACGTGTTGCTAAACGTGCCCCTCAGGAAATGTGGGCTCTGCATGCACTTTTTTTTATGTAGTGCAGCACACTGAGCACTACTGAAGTAGTCCAGCCACATCATCAACTTATTGCATTCCCAACTCATCACAACCACGCGCTCTTCAGCCGAACCATACAGGCACCAGCAAGGACACTTCCGTGGAGAGATAATATTGCTCCACGCCTCTAGACAGCTGTTTCGCTCCCTGTCGGAGCTCATCATTGCGCCATTTCTGGTGTATAAGAATGATCATTCCTCCATTATCATCATTATCATCCTCTACTGATGAGCTCCGACAGGGAGCGAAACAGCTGTCTAGAGGCGTGGAGCAATATTATCTCTCAACGGGAGTGTCCTTGCTGGTGCCTGTATGGTTCGGCTGAAGAGCGCGTGGTTGTGATGAGTTGGGAATGCAATGAATTGAAAATATGGCCGAAAGCTCTGTCGCAATATTTAGTACATCATCAACTTGCCTAGGGTATGTCAGGGCTTTTGAAGAGACTCAGGCCATACCTGCACATGTATCCCAATCCCCTCCACCCCCCCCCCCCCCCCCCACACACACACACCCTCCCTGGGCCCTGGACCAGTTCAATATCAGCACACAGTGTGTTTGCTGCAGCCTATGTGCTCCGGAATCCCCCGCGCAAGTTGCTACCAGCAATATGTACGAGATATAACCGTGTGGAACGTCAGGCGAAATTACTGGTCAGTCGGCGACACGCATTTTTCACAAAAATTTGCGTTTCACCTGCTGGGAGAGTATGCATGTACTCGAGTCTCATCCTGAGCACGTTTTTTTCTTCTTTTTTCAGCTCAAGTATAGCTGTATAGCTGTATTTTTCATTGCAAAGCCGTCCTCGACTGCTGTGTTCGTTGTTCAAACGAAGTGGACATTCTATCATGAAGGCAGAGGACATAGGAGCCTGATTGGAGTTTCTCGTGGCATAGGACGGCCACACAGAGACACTTTGGGATTTTCTGAATATAAAATACCGTACGCACGATGCTGAGATCAATTTGTGCGATATCAAATTGTTTGTGATCTACCACATCGAGCAGAACGGGATCCAAACACAAGCTTACCGACGGTTAGGCTGCCGACCTGACTGGACAAATGATCCCTGGCTTCACCAGACGCCAGAAGTCGGACACCATGTCCTTTGCCGCGACGTCCATCTCCAAAAAGAACTCTATCTTCGTCGTGAAAAGGCTTGAAATACTCAATATTCAACCGAGATTCGCGGACTCGCGCTTTCTCGGATCGATTAATTTCCTGTTGGAACAGTTGCAGGGCAGCTTCCCGCCACTGTTTCAACAGGCGATGGCTCCAAAGCATGCCTGGAACAAGCCATATTGAGGTTGCAAGCCACCCCTCTCAGCAAAAAATTCGAAGAAATTCGAAATTTCAATGGTGGAAGATATACTATGAAGAGAATTTCAAAAAGTATGTTTCGCGGAGCGATCGCTCAACCTACGTCATTCAAACTTTGCAGGATGGTTCAGACGTACATGCTAGGCATGGAACCACAGGCGATGATGCCATAGCTGACACACAGAGTAACACACACAGCAGATTCGTGTGCACAGATACTAAATTAGTGGACGTCGTCATCTTCTTCCCGCTGATCTCGAATGTACTATGACGTGCTATTTCGCCTGACGAGTAAAAAACTGAGGCACTATCTTGATACTCACTGATGTCCACGTAGCTCTCTACATCGGAATCGATTACCAAAGATTCTGTATCATTGATGATATATCTAGCCGACTCCAACACGCAGAGTCTATGGTCCAACGACAAGGAGTTGCTGTGCAGAGAGCTATGCAATGAGCACATATTTGAACAAACAAAAATATTGATTTTGACCAGCTTAAAATTAATAAATCTTGTGAACAACTTCCTAGCAGACAAGAAACATATAACAGCCCTAAAAAAACAATGAACTCGAACTCTTTTAATACCAAAAAAAGAGGACCATAAGTTTACAAGTTATCCGTTTTTGTCCAACACTTAGGCCGCAACCACACTACGTAAAAATCACAGTACAAATTTTCATGCATATCTCGGTGCAAGTCGGTACGCAACCACACTACACTTTTCGGTCTGCATAGATGACGTTTTCACGCGACCAGCACGTGACGTTGTCGTACCAAAGCGTGGGCGCCATGCGCTGGAAAAGACCGGGAAATTCAAAAACAATGCTGGTGCTGATGCTATGTACGATGACCCGGTACAAAAGCAAAGTTGTACACAGGATAAGGAGCGCGAAAACGACGAAAACGACAAACGTGGCTTTCTACAGGGGTGCGCCAGTTGCTGAAAACCTACAAAGCGCATTTTGCATTTCGCACGCGTCGGCATGACGATTTCTACTGTAATGCCGTTTGTACGTGATTTTGTACCTAGTGTGGTTGCAGCCTAAGGCCCTCTTCAGACTAGGTACAAAACAGCCTATAAGTCACATTTATATAGAAGTTTCCAAGACAACAACAAGAATCTGGCGGGAAGCCTAAAAAGCTGCCCAATCCTTTCAGGCAGGGTGCCAACCCTTGTACAAGGCAACTTTCCTGCATTTATCGTACTTTCACCAGGCAGTTGTACGAACTTTGTACCCGGGTACGACTGTCCGCTGCTTTCACACATCCCAGGCCCCTTGCGCAATTTCGTAGGGTCAAAGGTTGCCTGTATATTGCATGTAAAATGTGTAGTCTGAATGCAGGCATGGAAAAATGTTGCCTTTTAGGTTTTATGTGATTTTGTACTGGATTTTCTATGTACGTAGTCTGATGAGGGCCTTACGGTTATAAGCAGAATACTGTTGAGTCAAAAATGTGCAACAATTAGCACAAAAACTGACTGATGAGATCCTGCCATACAACGACCTGATGCTTAGCTGCATCATGGCTAGAATGCGCAAACCAGCAGCCTTCCAACTTGGAAGGTTCTAAGCTATGAAGTAATGTAAGAAAGGGGAAGGTGAGCGCACTCTAGATGAAAACAAGCTAAACATCACAGCGAACTAAGAATCATTTAGTTAGCTATGACAAGGTTTTTTATTTTAATCCTTGGCTCTCCATCCGAGTTTTATCTTTTAATACCAGAAACATTTTCAAAGTTTAGATTCACTTATAAACAAGTTCGTGTGCACCCTCTTTAAGTGCCGCAATTCCAAACAATGGCTACCAATACAAAGAGGATGTAGATCACAACAGCAGTGACCATTAACCTGTATTTCATTACATGGCTATTGTTTTAAGTAACTGTTAACCCTCCTTAAAAAGGCAAGGAAGGCTATGCAATTTCAAATACATAGCCTTCAACTGAAATTTAAAGAATATTACAAAGCCTTCAACGTATTCTAAACACAATAATATTGTAAACGTATCATATTACATACCGCAATTAAATCTTACACGAGCAAAACCTGTATAGCCGGTGAAACGGGGACGTGCAAACTTTACTCATTTTTTTCCTTTTACACGAGCAAGGAACTGTCACAACCACCTGTCTAGTTAGGCACTGAAACGCTTGCTCACAACACACTTTTCCAAAAGTCAACCATTTGACAACTTATTTCGCAATGCCGGGGGTGTCCGCAAGGAGTTCAATGCTATAAGTCTCGTCATCATCCAATACTATAAGTGCACATATTTATGCACTTTCCTCATAAAAGAGGGGTGGAAAATTTCCTGATTCAGGTATTCTCTTCGAATCCTAAAAAGGAGTTATTATAGCCGAATTTCTTGCTACTCATGAAATACCCACTGTAGGATATTGTCTTAGTACTTCCTCCACGTCATTAAAATTGTCGCTTCCCAGAGCGATTTTTCGAATTTATTTTGTCCACTCGAAGGGCAAAGAAATCAGCTAGAAATTGAGGCAGAGCATTGTCGACGGACCAAGCTTTAGTTTGTGGCCTCCCGCTTCGCTGCACTTCCAGCTAAGGTCGACGTCTTCATCAGAGAAATTAGCGGGGGCTAACAAAAAGGGGATAATTATAAAGACCAACGTATCCGAGTACATGGTCTGCAAATTCCATCTTTGGTTCACAGTCTTGGTGTCAGTGTTGGGCGAGTGAGCTCTACAATTGAGAGAAAGGCTTTTATTAACACAACAGAGCTTTAGAACAGACAATACAAGAGCAACACACATTTGCCGTTGGCAGATTTCAACTTACAGAAAGGTCAACGATTCAAGATTGTCAAAGAGACAAGAAGGCAAGCTTGCTAACTGATTGTGGGACAATCGCCTTGGGAAAGAACAACACATTTTTCAAATTTCGAAACAAGTGTCAGCACCGACGCAATCCCCACAGTCAAGTAAAGCCAATTTAGTAACCAAACGTTTTCGTTCCCTTCTCATCATGGGTAAGTACAGGGAATAATGGAAACATGACTATTAGACCTAACTAACAGCCCGGAATATATAAAGAAAGGAGGCTTTTCGTATTTTCTGTGTACCGGTATAATTATGCTCTCTTTCTTTCAAGTACTGTACAACTGACACAAGCAGAATGCTCATTCAATATCTGGATTTGAGGTTTTCTAATAACTGTGCAGATCCTCGACTCTTTGAGTGGACACCTCTTCATTCGTAGTCTGCTACGAGTGCGGTTCGTCTTGTACTGAGTTTGCAGCTAGCAAAACGTCTATGAGTACAGTGTCTGCTCCAGGATTTCAAACCAACCGGGTACACGTGTACCTGGCGCCACCATTGCAACCGGGTCAGAGCCGCCGGGTACGTTCAAGTGTGGCCACTGCACGTACATGTACATGTACATCTGGGAGTTGTAAATATTTTAGGGCTCCCTGATGTATTCCCAACCCTGTCACATGTGGCCTGGTGCTCTTTTTCCCCAAATGGGTCCAAGTGCCCCCAACCGGGTCGCCCACCCGCTTCTGGGGCAGACACTGATTTAATTTAGTATGGACACAAAATACTTCACATACACGGTTGGCAACTTTAAACACACACACACACACACACACACACACACACACACACACACACACACATACACACACACACACATACACACACACACACATACACACACACACACACACACACACATACACACACACACACACACACACATACACACACACACACACATACACACAAGGCTCATTACCCGGACCTGCACTGCTCACACAGTGCTGAATACCCGGAAGGGGGGGGGGGGGGAGGGGGGAGGGGAGGGGGAGAGCTTTCTAACATAGAATTCTGTCATGATGAGTTTGTTACATGGGGATCGCTTTGCATGTAACTCCGCATTACAGTCGAAAACCCGTTCTATGTAATTCACAGGGAAAGAAGGATTGAAAACGTTGCAGCTGTGACTCTGAGCTTCATGCATAAGCAACCGTCAGACAGCACAGTCGCCACGATACACTTTGGATATGCTTCAGGAAGGACTTACAGTTGTAACAAGTTGGTGTTTTTCTGAAAAAGACCATCCGGTAATTCTGTGAGCGAGTTTCTTTCCAAGTTTCTGCAGGTCGATGGGCAAAAAGAACGAAACCAGAACCAATTTCGATGGGCAGAAAGACTGTATGGTCTCGTTAATTGATCATGAGATATCTAATTTACATACACCATACACTAAAATGATTACAGGGGCGGGGGTGGGTGTGGGGGCGTTATGTCTTGAAATAGTAATATTAGTACTGGCTGTACATCGATTCACACGTCTAGTGCATGCGCACTGAGGTGTGAGGTTGTTGTTGCTTCACCCTTGATGAAGACGTGTGTAAGCCTTTGACTATCGGAATTACAATGCAGGGCCGGCGCCACCGGTACGGCCGGTACGGCCATGGCCGTAGCCGCCGTACCAACTTCCAAAAAGTCGGTCCATGTGGAGCGTCCAAAACCGGGGAGAAAAAGTTTCGATGTATGATTTTGTACAGGGAGTTGCCCAGAGTGCAAGATTTGCCATCTAAATTCCAAAAAAATCCTGGGGGAGGACCCTCAGATCCCCCTTAAAGATGGCCCTTCGGCCGCACCGCTCCGCGGAACCTGCCTCCGGCCCTGCAATGTACCTAGTCTCTGAGTGCTGTGTGTGTGTGTGCCTGTACGCCGTCGCATAGTAGTGAAACTGCAAAACGTAACAGTGGGACAATGGCAATTTTGCTGTGTTTATTTTACATTATTACTTGCATGTACGCGTTGGAGTCAACCATGCAAGCATGATTCACAACTTCGCTTATGCTGAACATGATAAACAGGACTATGACAGGGGAAAAATTGAACTAGAACGATGCTGAGCTAGAACGGTGATATAATTATGATAATTACATCGTAGAAAGGAAAGGAAATATAGATACGAGTTGAGAGTAACTCTCCATAACTGTAACGAGATACTATATGAACTTAGAAGTTGCGACTTCGGCGGTAATAGTCATGAAGTTGGTTGCTCCAACGAGGAGCACACGCTTCTTGCCGAACTTGACACTTGACTGACTCACGACTGCCATCCGGAGCACACGAGGAGCACGTCGCACCTTCCGCTCGGCAAACCTGTAAGAAAGCACCACTCCCTGCTCAATACACAGTGTTTCGGGGAATTCACCCCTCATCAGTTGAGCTTGAGTAGGCTGAGGAAGGTTGTGCCTGAAAAGCACCACTTATATACTGCTCTCCAGGCCAAACCATCACCAGGGATACAAACTTACAGAGACGCTTTGTTTCCAGCGCGACAAACACCTCGTGAAGCCCCAGGTAGCAGCGTGAGTCAGAGTCGCTCATGGAGTTGTGCTAAACAGACGTTGAGAGCCAGTATAGCTATTCACAACGCTGTCACCTCCAACAACTAGTCGCACATCCGCGTGAGGGACAACAATACGAACTTAGAAGTTGCGACTTCGGCGGTAATAGTCATGAAGTCGTGAGTCAGTCAAGTGTCAAGTTCGGCATGAAGCGTGTGCTCCTCGTTGGAGCAACCAACTTCATGAGATACTATATACAGTCAGAAAGTGCAACAACTAGGCACAAAACTGACAGAGTACTCAGACATTCGACTTCCTGACACCTAGCTTCAACACATCTCCGTAGCGCTAACCTACTGGTCTCGTCATAGTCCAGTAACAATCGACATTCTTTGTTCCGTTGGGACTGTAGCGTGTGCTCATTTTCGTTGCACTTGCCTTCCCCTCTTTGGTCTTTCCATAACCTTGAACCTTCCAAGTTGGAAGGCTGTCGGTTAGCGCTACGGAGATGTGTTGAAGCTAGGTGTCAGGACGTCGAATGTCTCAGTACTCTGTCAGTTTTGTGCCTAGTTGTTGCACTTTCTGACTGTATATAGTATCTGGTTACAGTGATGGAGAGTTACTCTCAACTCGTATCTATATTTCCTTTTCCTTTCTACATTTATTATTGGCTCAACATCCGAGTTTCAGATAATTATATCATAATATATAAAATTTATTTTATAACATCTGAGAATGCAGTCAACTATTTTCCTGGTATGTTGTTAGTTTGCAGGCAAGTTACCAGTGTTGTAACTCCCTTTCTATGCCTGCTCCCAGTCCCGTGCCATCTCCACACTTATACAAATGGACGACGATAACTACATTTAGAAGACTATATTTGTGACAAGACGACGGAACCACAACTAGACATGACGAACTCAAGACGAAGACATGATGAACTCAAGACGAAGACATGATGATTCATACCACAGCAACACGCGCATGCACCAACATGACGTACACACGACGTACACAAAATAACGTACTACAACACCAGTACTTGAAACACGCTCTGTCACACCAGGTCAGAGATGCCCGGTGACACTTGACTATAGGATATATCTATACGAATGCTTACATATGTATGGGTGCACACATGTTCAGCTTACATATGTATGGGTGCACACATGTTCAGCTTACATATGTATGGGTGCACACATGTTCAGCTTACATATGTATGGGTGCACACATGTTCAGCTTACATTTGTATGGGTGCACACATGTTCAACGCAGTTGCCTTCACGTCAATATGACTGATTTTAATTAAAGATTTGGTACTGTCGGTACACAAAAAACCCCAAAGAAAAACGCTGTGTATTGGGATGACAGTATGGTATAAATTCAAAAAGCGTGGCCCAATATCTGTACAGTCACCTACCTGTGCCTATATATTTGGCATGGTGCATCCATATGTAATTTGACCCCGCTTCCTATTTCACACCTTCGCGTACGCACATGCACCAGCGGTAACTGTTGCGTGCCTGTGCTGTTTACATGCCTACTCTGTTCCCCGTGTTCTCCACTTCTCCTTCTGTCTTCATCAAGTATAGTTTGTAATTCCTACCGGAGTGTGATGGTTGTGTTGGACTGAGAGAGTGTGCATGGGCATTTACCCTTAGTGCTGTTGCAGTAACGCAACACTTGGTGTCAGAACTGGTACCCCGAACCCTCGCCACCGGACCCGCTCGCCATGGCGAAATTTCAGCCCCCTGAAAGCTTCGACTTTTCCGCACCTGAGAATTGGCCCCGCTGGAAAAGCCGATTCACACGCTTCCAGATTGCTACCAAACTCTCTTCCGAATCCGCAGATGTCCAAATCTCCACTCTCATCTACTCTCTGGGCCCAACTGCGGATGATATCTTCCAGCGTGAGTTGTCCTTCGCCCAAGATTCCGACAAGGACGACTTCGATAAAGTGGTCGATGCTTTCGACAAGTACTTTGCACCTGCGGACAATGTTATCCACGAACGGACGCAGTTCGCTCGTCTCCGCCAGCTCCCCGGTGAGTCCGTAGCCACGTTCTCAAGCCGACTCCACTCTGTCGCGGCGAGATGCCGTTTCGACAAGCCGTCAGAACGGATCCGCGATCACCTCGTCGCCCACATGGCTGATTCTGAAGTGAGTAAGGCAATGCAGAAAAAGGACATAGGCTCCCTCACCCTCGCCGATGTTCTCAAGGAGGCCAAGGCAGCTGAGACCCTCGAAATCCAGCTAGCCACTCAGCGCTCCGCAGCCACTCAGCCCTCCGTCGCTGCCGCTGTCGCTCGCGGACATCACAAACAATCTCGTGGAACTGGCAGACCGAAGAATGCTCCGGCTGCATCTCGCCAGTCCGCGCCTAGCTACTCGACACGTGGCCCTCCAGCAACCTCTGCTCCGCGCGCTCCCTGCTCCGGCTGTGGCTCATCTAGTGGTCACTCGCGCCGCGAGTGTCCTGCTTGGTCCGTCGAGTGCCGTAAGTGCCAGCGTCGTGGTCACTTTGCCAAAGTGTGTCGTAGCTCTCGTCAAGTGGGCGCGAGCGAGATGTCTGACCATCCGGTGAGTGATTCTGCTAGTGCTAGTGCGAGTTGTTTTATGGGTAGTGCTTCATCCGAGTCACAGGAACCCAGTATCTGTGTTTTGAGTTCAGTATCCATTCCTGACTCAACTGAACCCTGGCTTGTTGAGCTCCCTATCAATGGCCAGTCAGTGTTGTTCAAGCTGGACTCTGGCGCAGACTGCACACTCCTGTCACTGCCGTCCTACAATAGCCTCAGTCCTCAACCTAAGCTCACGCCGATCTCCACTAAGGTCACTGGACCTGACGGCCAACCTCTACCCATACACGGCGCATTTGTTGCTGCCAGCTCCTGGAAGGACCGCAACGTCACTTTCCGTGTTATTGTTGTTGATGGCCCCAGCAACCTCCTGAGCCGCAGTGTGTGCCAGGACCTGAACCTCCTGTCTTGCGATGTATCCGAGGCATCCGCAAGCCCTCCGTCCGCTCCTCCTGTCATTGGTCGCATGTCCGGTCCTGCAGCTACCATCGAGCTGCAAGACAATGCCCAACCATATCACTGCCAGACCGCACGACGAGTTCCCATCCACCTGCAAGCCAAGGTCAAGACCGAACTTGACCGGATGGTCCAGATGGGAGTCATCTCTCCAGTCACCGATCCGACCGACTGGTGTGCGCCCATGGTGCCCGTGCTCAAGAAGAATGGCTCCGTCCGCATCTGCGTGGATCTCAAACGCCTGAACCAGTCCGTGAAGCGTTCACACTTCACTCTGCCGACCATCGAAGACACCCTGGGCAAGCTGTCCGGAGCCAAGGTCTTCTCGTCGCTTGACACGGCGTCTGGGTTCTGGCAAGTGCCACTTGCTGACGACAGTGCGTCACTCACTACGTTCATGACACCGTTTGGCCGGTTTCACTTCAACCGTCTACCCTTTGGTATCACCAGTGCGCCAGAGGTTTTCCAGCGTCGCCTACTGGAAATCGTTGGGCACATTCCCAACGTGGTCGTCTTCATGGATGACATCCTCGTGTTCGGTGCCACTCTAGCTGAGCACGATGCTGCCCTCACTGCTGTCCACGCAGCTCTCGCTTCTGCAGGCGTACTCCTCAACCCCGCCAAGAGTCGCCTCCGTATGAAGTCCCTGACGTTCCTGGGTCACCTCATCGGTGCTGACGGTGTCCGCCCAGACCCAGCCAAGGTGTCTGCCATCCAAGCTCTGAAGTCACCGACCAATGTGCCCGAGTTACGCCGTGCTATGGGTATGTTCACGTTTCTGTCGAAGTTTGTGCCAGATATGGCCAATGTCAGTGCCCCGCTCCGTGCTCTACTGAAGGCCGACACCGCCTGGCAGTGGGACACCCAGCAAGAAACTGCCTTCTGTCGCCTCAAGGAACTCGCTACTACTGCTCCCTGCTTGGCACTGTTCTCGCCCGACCAGCCCGTCCGTATTAGTGCTGATGCCAGTAGCTACGGACTGGGTGCTGTCCTCCTGCAGCCTGATGGCTCCCGCTGGCGCCCTGTTGCCTATGCGTCCCGCTCTCTATCACCTACTGAGCAGCGCTATGCCCAGATTGAGAAAGAGTGTCTCGCCATCGTTTGGGCATGCGAGCATTTCCACCACTACATCTACGGCGGTCCTCAGTTCACAGTCGAGACTGACCACAAGCCTCTCGTGCCTCTCATCAACTCCGCTGATCTCGCCCGCTCTCCTCTGCGATGCCAGAGACTCCTGATGCGGCTGATGAGGTACAACCCAACCGCTATCCACGTGCCTGGCAAATCACTCGTCATTGCCGACACCCTATCCCGTGCTCCGCAAGAGTCCTCGCCTACTAGTGATCTTGCTGATGAAGTACAGCTGCATGTGTCTGCCGTCACATCGCATTGCTCCACCGACCCGCTCTTGGTCGACGTTCGGAACGCGACCAACGCTGATGCCGACATGTGTCGCCTCCGTGCCCTCATCCTCAACGGGTGGCCAGCCAAGCCCACCTCGGTCCCCGCTAGCCTCCGCCCGTACTTCGCTGTTCGCGATGAGCTCTCAACTGCTGATGGTCTCATATTCCGTGGCCAACGTGTCATCATCCCTGCATCCCAGCGCAACGCCACCCTTGCCAGTGCTCACGAGGGTCACCAAGGCGTTGGTAAGTGTCGTGCTCGTGCGCGTGCTGTGATGTGGTGGCCTGGTATGTCTACGGACATTGAGTCGTATGTGATGTCTTGTGCCACCTGTGCCAAGGCCCGTCCTAACCCAGCCGAGCCGCTCATCTCGTCCGAGTTCCCATCTCTTCCATGGTCAAAGATCGCGTGTGATCTGTGTGCAGCCAAAGGATCCACTTACCTAGTTGTTGTCGACTATTTCTCGCGCTACATCGAAGTCAAACAACTTACCACTACTACGTCTGCCGCTGTGATTGCCTGTCTCCACTCCGTGTTTTCTACCCATGGTATTCCAC